GAAGCCCTCTACCAGGAAGGGTTGACATAGGCTGTGACAGCAGCTTAAACACAGCACAGACTGTGAGGCTGGTGCAGAACCTAGCACCATTTTCTTCTGTTGTACACAGGATTACTGTGAGCTGGAACAGACTCAATGACACATAAAAACAACATGTTCCAGGCATTGAATTCAAGGATGAACACAGCCAACTCTCCTCCCTGGGGATGGAGAAAAGTGATTGGCGGCGTGTCTGGCATAGAACAAATGGTGTTTGCTTTTACTGTAGGAGGTTGCAGAGCTCTGGGGACCAGACAGTGGAATCTCCCTGCTGTGCTGGTAACTTAGAGGAAGAGGAAGTGATCATGCCAGCAGCAAACACTATGAGCGGCTTTGATCAATATTTACATCTCTCTTCACCGAATCTGCTTCTCGCATCAGTTACAGTAAGAAGGCAGGAGAATCTGGTCTTTTGTATCAGTGACAAACTGAGGCTGAAAGTACGATGGGAAGGATGCTTAGATGACCTCTCTCATTCTTTTTGGCTGTAGACTAGGGATTAGTAGAGCCTGACCAGGAGGCAGGGCTGGTCCAGGTGAGTTTTGATGGTGTCTATGAGCACCAAGGGGTGCCCAGCAGAAGGCCAAGTCTGGTGGTGTGGCATCAATGGGAGCAGCAGAGAGTTCTGGAATGAGAGAAGGACCTGGACCCTTGCAGCCAGGCCAATCATGCCTGGAATGGAGGAATCATCCTCTCAGCTATCATCTCTATTGCGTATTTGTAAGTTGTTTTTAGGTGCTGTCAAGTCGAGTACAACTCATAGCAACCCTATGAACAAAAGATCTGAACCCCGCTCTATCCAGTGCCATCCTCACACTTCCTGACACACAAGACCCATTATAGGAGTCACTATGTCAATCCATCTGGTCGAGGGTCTTCCTCTCCTTCCCTGACCCTCCCCCCTTCCTAGCATCATGTCCTTCTCTAAAGAATCTCCATTGCAGCAACATGCCCAAAGTATGTGAGGCAAAGTCTTATCATTTTTGCCTCCAAAGAGCACTCTGGCTGCACCCTCTCCAAGACATATCAGTTCTTTGGGCAGTCCATGGGATGTTCAGTGCTCTTTTCCAACACTACATCAACTCTTCTTCTGTCAATCTTATTAATTGTCCAGCTCTCAGATACATAGCAAATGATAGGAAAGACCATGCCCTTAATCAGACACATCTTAGTTCTCAAGTTGACATCATCAAAACAACCTACCCTCCAGAATCCAACTGCTTCATGTAAGAGACTCCAAAACTGGAGTGATATATGTAAAAACGCAAACACATACACACATGAAACAGTACACGATACACACACTGAACACCGTTCACACAGACTCACAAATGCATTCAGTGAATTAAGTCCACGAATGCATTATTCCTAGTTGTTATCAAGTTGCTTCTGACTCATGGCCAACCATGATGCCATTTACTAGTGATTGGTCTTTCTGGAAGATTTGCCCAAAGCAAGTGACCTGAGGTCTCACCAGGTTCTTTTTTTTAAAAAAAAATTAATTGTAATGAAAGTTTACAGAGACTTTGGATTTCCATTCATTCATTGTTGCACTTGTCTCCCTGCCCACCCCTCTCCCCCAATTCACTCTTCTCTTTGAAAAGTAAAAGAAAAATTCTTGCATTGTTATACAGTCCTTTCCCCCAAGTCCACTCCACTATGCAGCCTTCATTCTGGACTCCTGTCATGACACAAATACCTAGTCATATATCCCTCTTAAACAGTTCTCTCCCTCATCTGTTTCAATGTAGTATACATGATTTATCCCTTCTTTCTCAGTCTCCCCATAACCCCTATGTCAGTCCTCTTTTATAACAGTGGCATTATTCAGTATTTGTCTTTTTGTGATTGAGATATTTCACTCAGCATAATGTCCTCCAGGGTCATTCATTTAAGGAACATTCTGATTGTATTCCTTCGATAATGGATTTGTTTATTATTTTGGCAGTCAGTGGCATATTCAGTATTCTTTGCCAACACAATTTTAATACCTCAAGTCTTCTTTTGTCTTTCTTCTCACATGCTGTTGTTACGTGTCATCAAGTCAAGTGCAACCCTCTGAGAAACAGACTGAAACTTTGCCCTAACCTCATGTCTTCCCCGTGCTCAAGCCCATTGGTGCAATCAGTGCGTCGATACACGTCATTGAGAGTCTTCCTCATTTTCACTGACCCTTTACTTTCCCCAGCTGTTGTTGTTGTTGTTGTGTGCTGTCAAGTCAGAGCTAACTCAGAGCTGACCCTCCAGTGGGTTTTCAGATGCAATTAATCACACAGGAGATTATCCATCCTTCTCTGACAGAGCAGCTGATGGATTAAAACCATGTGCCTTTCAGATTACAGTGCATCTTAATGTTCCTGTCAAATTCCTTTGAATGATCTTCAGCAAGATATACTTGCATGTTATATTAATAATATTCTTTGATAATCTCCACACTCCGTCCACTTTTTTTGAGAATGGTAATGAATATCTTCCAGTTAGTTGGCTATATTTTTGGCAGAGACTAATGAGCATGTCCAAGGGTGTATCTGTTTCTTGAAGCATCTCAATAAGTATGCCATCAATTTTCGGTGCTTTACTTTTTGCCAATAACTTCAGTGCAGCTTGGACTTCTTCCTTCAGTACTATTGGTTCTTGGTCACATGCTGCTTCCTAAAATGGTTCAATGTCGGCCAACTCCTGTGAGTATAGTGACTGTGTTCTTCTTTTGAAGCATCTGTATTCTTTTGTTTTTGCTAGGCAGTCTCTCCCTTTATTCTCTCCCCGCCCCCACTAGTTTACTTAAAAAACTTGAGTACAAATTTGAACAAATTCAATTTCCCTCACATGGCCACCCATCAAATTGTACAACCCAATGATTAATGCCCCCCTCCCTCTGCACATCCATACCCCTCTGCTTCCAGCCTCTGCCACCCCCCCGGATTCTTGAAACATCTTTTTTTTAAGCTTCCTGAATCATACATAATATACAAGGTTTTGCACACAGAATCCTTCAGTGTTGCAATTTGAAGTTTGAATCCTCAGTTCTTTCAGCTTGAGAAATGTTGTTATAAATCTTCCTTTGATCTTAGTGCCACAGTTTTCTATATATAGTTCAGATTCTTTTTTTAATTAATTTTTTTAATTTTTGTGTGCGTGTACCGTCCAATTGGATCTGACTGATACAGGAGGAGATTGTCCCTCCTTCCCCGGCAGAGCATCTGGTGGATTCGAACCATGCGCCTCTGGGATTGTAGTTGCAGCTCCTTGCCACTAGGCCACCAGAGCTCCCCATCTTCTTGAATTATTTGCTCAGCATACTGATTGAATAGGTTTGGAGAAAGGATACCACCTTGATACTTATCTTTCCTGATTTTAAATCATGCAATAACCTCTTGTTCTGTGTGAATGACTGCTTCTGGGTCTATGTACAGATTTTACATTAGGGTTCTCATGTAAAAGTGAGTGTTCTGAAATTCTTATTCTCTTCAGTGTTATTCATAATTTACTCACACAGTTGAATGCTTTTGTCAACAAATCACAAATAAACATCCTTCTAGTATTCTCTACTTTCAGCCAAAATTCATCTGACATCAGCAATGATACTAGATGTCACGACCTCTTCTAAATCCACTTTGGATTAACTTTTTCTCCTCTAAGGATCGATCTTTGTTTAAGGCCAGGACTCAAACTATGACCAAAATAAGGGCTCAATGTATGGCAAAGGTCAGAGTTCAGTGTGGGCCTAGGATCAGGGCTCAGTCCGTGATACGGGTCAGGATTGAGCCTATCTTCTCCAGGGTCAGAATTCAGTGTAAGAGCAGAACTCACAATATGAGGTTAGTGACTACAGCTGGGACTCAGATAGCCTGCTGTCCTTTCTAACAAAGTCATGCTCTGGAGAGCTGGGGTACCAGGTCTGAGAGGCCACTGCAGCTGGGCCTCTTCCTCCGAGTATCTTCTCCCTCCTGGGCTTTTGGCTGGTAATGAGGAGAGGTACAAGACTCCCTATCCCATCCTGAGAGCAATCTTCCTTCTAGGGACCGTCTGACCCTTGAGACCCCAAAGGGACCCAACCCCAGCCTCCAACCTTGGCGGGCAGCAGGGCCTGGCTACGTGGCAGCCCCACCACACATGAGGGATGAGACTCTTTGGCAAATGTTGTGTTTGCAGGGAAAACACTGGTAACCACAAGCAAACCTACCCCTCCCTCGGTCTCTTTCCGGTGGGTCCTGCACCCTGGGGAGCCTCATAAAGCAGCCTCCACTCCTGTCTTGGACAGACAAAAACTTGTCCGGGACTGAACATCTCCTGCCTCAGAAATTCCCAAGGTAAGTGTGGGAACTAGGGCCGGTGCCTTCCCAAGGAAGGAGTTCAACAGGGAGATTATCTCCAACTCTCTCCCGATAGCCTGGCTTTGCTGTGGGACTTTGGGCAAGTGCTGACTTTCTGGTCTCTGTCTGAGCAACGATCCCTCATTCCCACCTGGCTTTCCTTCCCCAAGCTGGACACAGGACAACTGCCCACTCAACTGGGCCTGGGTACAGAGGGGATAGAGAGCCTTGTGAGAGGCCCGCTGCCTGCAACATTCAACTGGCACAGGTTGAGATGGCAACAGGGGCCACCTGAAATCCTTCCTGGCTGAGTCCAGATAGCTAGACACCAGCAGGGCTGTCACACTGTGCTGGGCTCCTCACAGCAGGTGGCACAGCCCTCCTCTAAAGGAGTGGGTCTGGGCCTCTGTCCTTGCTGGCATCTCCCCAGTTAGCATCTTCCCACCTTCCTCCAATGTGCTGTGTGTTCTCTAACTGGTCCCAGTGTGGCTTGGGGTAAAGCCACGTTTCCTCTGGGTCTTGACCAAGGCCATTCACAACCATATCTCTCTGGGGTCCCCCCATGGATCAGACAGGTGAGGGTGATTAGTCCCATGGCAGACAGGCAGGAACTGGTGCCCAGAGGGCCTGGGGCAGACCACCACTTACAGCTTTCGACATCTGGGCTGGAGTGGGACTCGAGTGCCTGGGCTAGACCATCCTGGACAATCTCCCTAATGTTTGTTCCCATGTCAGCCCTCAGGTCTTGGTCTATGGCCAGAGAGTCCATGGCTCAGGCGTGTGGACTGGGCCTGCTGCTGGCACTGCTACTGCCCTTGGTTGGTGCATCCATGCCTGGATTTGTGGTCAGACTCAACAAGGCCACTCTGAAGTATGGTAAGACCTTGTCCCCCAGTCTCCATTCTGTGTGTGTCTGTGCACAAGTGAGTATGTGTGAGTGCAGGCTATGTATGCATGTGCACCATCACTAAGCGTGCGTGTGTATCCATGAGCTCAGAAATCCCCTGAGGGTGGAGATTTTTGTCTCCTATGCCACCAGAGCCCTGGTACCACATTGTATCTCACACACAGTTGTTGTTCTTAGGTGCTATCAAGCCAAGTGTGACTCACAGCCACTCTGTGAAAAACAGAACTGAACCCTGTCTTATCCTGTACCATCCTCATCATCTTTGACATACTTGAGCCATTGCTGCTGTCACTGTCTCAATCCATCTTGTTAAGGGTCTTCTTCTCTTTAGCTGACCCTCACCTTTCCAAGCATGATGTCTCTCTCCAGCCTCTCCTGACAACATACCCAAAGTTCGTGAGACAAAGCCTTGTCATACCTGCCTCCAAGGAGCCTTCTAGGCGGACTATCTTCAACACATAACTGTTTGTTCTTTTGACAATCCCTGGGGTGCCCAGTGCTCTTCTCCAACACCACAATGTAAAGGCATCAATTCTTCTTCTGTCATCTTTATTCATCTTCCAGCTTTCAGATGTATAGCAAGTGACTGGCAAGACCATGACTTGAATCAGGCTCACCTTAGTCTTCAAACTGATATCATCGCTCCTCAGTAACTTGAAATCACACTGCACTGCTTGACAAATACTCAATGGATTCGTGGATGAATGAAATATCTGCCTCATGTCTGATGCGTGCACACACACAACCGGTTGGGTGTATGTGTCCTAATGGTGTGAATGTCGGTCAGTTTAAATGGCTGTTTTGGCTTCCATGTGCCTGCTTCGGGGAACCACAGGTGAAGGTGTGAGTGCTGACGGGTGCCTGTGATAGCTGTGACTGCGTACCCTGTGTGCACATGGGCACTCTCATCTCACAGCTGGTGATTGAGCTGTGTGTGTGGGTGCATAGCATGTGCACAGTGCCACAAACACACGTGCACATGGAGGGGGCCACGTCTAGCCCAGCCCTGCAGGGAGCAGCCAGAAGTTGGCTCCTGCTGGGCTCAGGCACAAGCGGCTCCTCTCTGGGCCTTCCTGGTGGCAGAAGCCTCTGTTCTGCAGTTTTGCTTGTTGTTGTGTACAGTAGAGTCAGAGCTGACCCTTAACTGACCCTCAGAGGCAGTAAATCACACAAGACAAGAATGTCTATCTTTCTCCCATGGAGAAGCTGGTGGATTTGAACTGTGTACCTTTGGGATGGCAGCACAACTCATTATCCTTTAGTCACCTTTAGTATAACTTTACTAGATCTTTCTAAACTCGGTTCTATCCTTTGGTGAAGCATACTGGGGAAGCGGGGGAAGCAGATCTATCCCCGGGAAGGGCAGAGACTACAGTCCAGGAACCAGACACAGTACTCTTCTTCATATCTAGCTTCCCCTCAGCACACTCAGCCGGGCAGGGGTGAAATACAGCTCTCCGCTCCCACTATGCCCCCCCCAGGCCAAAGCGAGAACAGATTATAGTGTGAGAGATTCAGGTCAGACAGTAGAAAGGACTTTGCACAGCAATGAAGCAGTGACTCGTGAAAGCAGCAGAGTCCCCCCTCCCAGCGCATACACACTCTTCCGGGACCTCACATCCGGGTCGATGGGTGGACAATGAAAGGGGTCAGTGATCCATGCCACAACGTGACTGGCACACAGAGCCATGCAGGGCTGCGTGCCACCTGCCTGCCTGGTGTCTGTCCAGCGTGACCTCTTTTGTCCGCAGAGAGTGGACTGCCTGTGTTTGTTCTCTGTGGAAATCCAGCTGAGGCCCACTTGCTCACACCACTTCCGGTGCTGGGTGGGATAGCTTCTTACCACATCCTCCCTCCGCACCCTATGAGTCCAGGCCCTGTGTTAGAAGAACACTGTAGAGGGAGTTGAGAGGCTGAGATGTACGTCTGAGCTCAGCCACAAGTAGTCAGAACAGAGGGACGCTGTTGTTAGGTGCCATGGAGTGACCACACCTCATAGCAACCCCATGAGCAGCAGATCTGACCCTTGACACCCCCCACCCCCACTCCCCAGCACCCTGCTTACAATGTCTGCCATACTCAAGTCTGCTATTGTATTCACTGTATCAACCCATTTTGTTAAGGGTCTTCTTCTCTTTCTTTGACCCTCTACCTTTCTCAGCATGATGTCTTTTTCCGCAGCCTGACCCTTCCTGGTAATCATGCCCAAAGTATATAAGATGAAGTTTTCACCATCCTTTTCTCTAAAGAGCACTTTGATTGTACTTCCTCCAAGACAGATCTGTTTTTTTGTTAGAAGTCCTTCATCCTCTGATGTTTGGGAAAACTGAAACCCAGAGAGGAGTAGGAACTTCTCAACATCAAGTCTGGGCAGGGTTTGGGTCTCCTGACTTGTTACTTGAGGCTCCCTTCTCGGCACCTCCATCTTCAATTACAGTTTAATTAGTATCTCCCTAGGGTGCAGCAAGACAGGTGAAAGAAAGTCCGCAGACTCTGAACGAGACTCTAAACCTGTCTCGATCTAGATTTGCCCTCCCCTGACTGAATCTCCACCTCCCTGTAAACAGGGCATGATAAATGTCCCTCCATTTACAGAATCGTTGTGAGATGATGCTAAGCTCTCAGTGCAGGGCCTGGCACGAGAGGAGCAGCTTATAATCAACAGCCCTTCATGCCTTAAAAAAAATTGTTAGTATTTTTTTGAAATAAATATTTTTGTCATCCATATACATTGTGCTTCATGTATGTACGTTGTGTTGCATGTTATCGTTGTTGTTATGTGCCATCGAGTTTCCTGTGACTCATAGTGACCCTAAACCCTGCCCTATCCTGTGCCAGTCTCACTGACTCTGACACACGTACCCCCCTCACCCCAATGCAGTCCTTCATTTACATTATATCCCGTTCATCTATACAAACGGAATTATAAAATTATAGAATATGGAACTCTTGTGGCCTAGTGGCAAGAAGCTGCACTGAAATCCCAAAGGCACACAGTTCGAATCCACCAGTTGCTCTTCTGGGAGAAGGATGGACAATCTTCTTCTGTGCAATTAACTGCCTCTGGAAACCTGCTGGAGGGTCAGCTATGGGTCGGTTCCAATTCAGTGGTATACAGCAATGACATTTATATTATGGGATTCTCCCCTTCCTTACAATCATCCCACCAACAACTGCTTTTGTGAAAGCGTGTAAAGCCAGCTACTTCATGCCTCATGCCCTAACATCCCCCTTTTAGATAGCCAATTGCTAATTTGCCCACCCCTGCCAAACCAGTGCTCGGAGGAAACAAGGGTGTCCCTCTTGCCGAAGGATCCCATGTTCAACTGGGCAACTTGGAGCATCTGCATCTATAAGCAAAGTCAGTGCAGAGCAAGCCATCAGGGTGCAACCCTAGCTCATGGCATGCTGAGGTGGGTACATCTTCTGGTTGGCTTCTGGTCAATTCACCCCAGCCTTCCGTGGCTAGGTTTAAATGGGCATCAGCTGCTACAAAAGTGAATAGTAGCAACAGAGACAGCCGATATTTCTTTCTTTTTTAAAAAATTTTATTTTATTATTTTTTTGTGTGTACCTGGTGGATTCAAACTGCGTACCTCTGGGACTGCAGTGCAACTTCTTGCCACTAGGCCACCAGAGCTCCCTTAGCCTGCATTTCTTGTGAGCCAAGTCTTTATAATGGCCCCATGTGATGTTACAGAGAAATGTACTTGGTTCCTAGGGCTGCTGGGACATAACAAAGCACAGCAAACTAGGGGACAGAAAGCTACAGAAATGTCTTCCCTCACAGTGAGTCAGAAGTCAGAAAGCATCGGGTCAGCAGGGCCATGCTCCCTCGGAACGTTCTATGGGAGAATCCTTCTGGCCTTTTCAGCTTCTGGTGGCTGCTGACAACCTCTAGCGTTTCTTGGCTAGTAACCCCATCATCCCAACTTCTGTCTGTTTTCACATGGCCGCCTCTGAGTGTCTCTTTCTCTATTTCTCTATCCTTATGTGGCTTTCCGTTACTACTCTGCTCCAGATGACCTCATCTGAGTGTAGTTAATTAAATCTGTAAAGATCTTATTTTACAATAAGGTCACATTCACGGATTTGGGGTTGGGACTTGAATGAGTCTTCTTTTGGAGGCCACAGTGTAGCCTTGTGTAAAGGGAAAGATTGACGTACAAGATTCTTGGCCTTTGAGGGAGGCTGTCCATCTAGAGGCTGCATCCATAGCCGACCTGCTTGGGTAAGAGAAGTCACATTTGTTTGGGACATTGGTAAAGGTGCTGAATGAAGTGAAATTTGACTGGAGCCTTGCAAGAGGGCAAAGGAGGGGTACACTTAGCAAATAGATTTGTGACAGGTAGATCAGGGAGCAAAAGGGCACATCATGCAGAGGGTGAGAACTGGGAAAAGTCCTCTCCTGTCCCCAGCTGGGGGACAGAGGTAGGCAGCGTGGTATTGCTCTTTGTCTCCCTGGGGCAGCCTAACCTCCCCCTGCCATGGTCCCACAGTGACTGATGTTGGGAAAGTCCCATTCCAGCGGGTCCTGAAAGTCACGGTCCCGTATTTCCTAGACCAGAGTCAACAGAGGATCCAGCCCATCAGGTGAGTGCTCCTGTCTGCAAGGTGAGTGCTCCTATCTGCCAAGTGAGGGCTCCCCAGCTAGCAAGTGCTCTTCCACCGGGACAGGTCCTTAAAAATGAGTGATCACAAGAGGAGTCAGGAGAAGGTCCTAAGGTAGAGACCTGGAGTCTGGCTCTTGAACTAGTGGCCTAAACTGGGTCCTCTGGATTCACTGAGCCCAGGGCTGGCAGGAATTGTGACTCTTCTAAAGTCAGAGGCTAGATTTAAGTTCATTTACCCCCATTTACACACACACACACAGAGGGAGAGAGAGAGAGTGATGGCAGAGACTCAAAGATGTAAGTAGACAGAGTCATCTCAAATGCTGGGAGCTGGACCCATTGGCCTAATGTGGGAATGCAGACAGATTTTAGAGTTTTCCAAAGTAGCTACTTGGCTTAAAATGTAAAATCCGTTGTATTTTGAATGATAACAATGAATTTTAAAACATTTGACACATTAGATGGGTCCAAAAATTGTCTAGAGACTGAAATTGGCCCAGGAATCTCCAGTTTAAGAACCTTTAGGTAGTGCTGGGAGCCCAGCTAATAATAGTGGGGGACCGAGAACCACCCCAAACACCCGAGAATTGAGGATCCCTAAGTGACCCGTGACCTGGTCAGATAGCAGACAGCTCAACATTGTCCAAAATAGGTGCCGAGGGACAGAAACACATGGAAGGGTGAAAGGAAGCAGATTCGGGTGAGCTGATGTCCGAGGAGTCACCGAAAGATGGTCACTTAGGTGCTAAGAGTACTGCTCGATGGTGGGATCTAATGTTTTGATTTTAAACTTCACACCATTTTGTTTACAGAATTGGAATTTCAGCCTCTATCTCCCTCTGACCCCTATCCAAGTTCTGTGCAGGAAAAACAACAAAGAATTAAATAGTAGGTTAACTAGAGAGGGCTTAGCAATCCAAGTGGGCAACTTTGAGGGGAATGAGTTCTCTGCTGGGCGTGGACAGCAAGCCAAGGCTGTTGACTGGAACACTGTGGAGGAGCCTTCTTTCCTCAAGTCCTCCCTTTGCAGACTTCTTCCAGAATTCAAAAGAACAATGTCCTCTTATCCAATGCCCTACCCAATGCTGGGCTCACAGCTGCATCTTCCCCCGAAACCAGCCTGCTGTCCAACTTTGGCTTGCATGCCCCCAGTGATGGAAGACTCACCACCTCACCACCACCATGTTGTTCTAACAGTTTGAAAATCTTTATAGCATCAACCATACACACATGACATCATGGTTTAATGGGGGCCACAGTGTAACTTTAATCTTCTTGCCTTGTCTCCTGCAGGGTCCAGATTCTGAACGTCCACGTGCATAACTTCCAGCTGAACTTTGTTGCTGATTTTGGGGTCCACTTATCTGCAGAAGCCAACTTTAATTTCAGGGTCCTTCGGTGAGTCTTCAGGTTGGTGGGGAGACGGGAGTGGGTTCAGGGATGCTCCTAGAACCTGAGTCAGGACAGAGAACCTTTCCAGAACTTGCACCCTTTGACCTCCTATAGAGCGCTTCCCTTTCAAGAGAAGGATTTTTGAGAATCTGGACCTGCACAACAGTTGTGTAATTGAGTGGAATCGTTTCACTTCTCCAAATCTCAGTTTTCTCACGTATAAAGTGAGATGCAATCAGGCACAATGGCTAGGGGGGCTTCAGTGAATGGATTCATTGCTAGAGTTATATTTACTGTCCCCTTTCTTTTTTTCTTTTTTTAAAAAAATTTATTATTAATTTCAATGAAAATTTACAGAGACTTTGGATTTCCATTCATTCATTGTTGCACTTTTCTCCCCTCCCAACCCCCCCCCCCCAGTACACTACCCTCATGGAAAAGTAAAAGAAAAATTCTTTCATTGTTTCACAATCCCTCCTCCAGGTCCACTCCACTATACAGCCTTCACTCTGGACTCCTGTCATGACAAAAATCCCTAATAATTTTCCCTCTTCAACAGTTTTCTCCCTCTTCTGTTTCAATACAATATACATTATTGAACCCATCCTTCTCAGTCTCCTCCTAAACCCGAGGTCAGTCCTGCTTTACAACGGCACTGTCCCCTTTCTGATATTAGGTCATATAGTAGTTGTCAATACATTAATTATTGGAATTATTTCTGTGCATTGAACACAGACGGTTACTGTGTTTGTGCTCTGCTGAATGACCTCAATGGGAATGGTACAGGCTCTTTGGATTACAAGTGTTTCTACCACTTATTGGTGTGGTTCCAGGCTTTTTATACTTATAAGAATGAGGATGCTGCTAAACAGAGCACGCTTTATCAAGAGCCCGTTTCTCCAAAAGACTCTTGTCCTAGAGTGACATGTTTTATTACTTCCCTGCAACAAAAAAGAAACTTGAGCCTGGGACTCATAGAAATAAATCAAAGGGGTGTACACACTGGCCTGCATGGAAGCGAGAGGAAGGGGGTTAAGAGGAAGGTAGTTTTTTCAAAAGCAAACAGCGTGGCCATCCTGCAACCAGCTTCCGTGCTCACACACTCAGACTCTCTCATTGCTATTGAGCAGGAACCGACTCGCAGCGACCCTCCAGCAGGTTTCTGAGGCTGTAAATCACCCAGGCGGAGATTACCCAGATTTCTCGCTCAGAGTGGCTGATGTATTCAAGCCGCCAGAGAGAGAGGCTCAGGCTTTGAATTAGCAGTGCAACTCCCTATGGACCATGTAATCAGCTTTCTGCTTTCCTGTGTGAACTGTAAGGTTAATTCTGCACATCAAAGGAGTTATGGGTAGTGATGGAGGCAGAGAAAGTTATTGTGAGCATAGAACATGGAGGCAGCCTTCTCTGATAAGGAGAAACTGGGAGATTTTCCAATTTCTCAATTTCCATCCTTGTCGGAGAATATTCTGAGGTCAAGACCTCAGCATGGGACATCAAAATGAGACTTGCAACGGGCAAATCACCCTCCTAGTAATAATGTTTAGAGGATGAGCTGGCCATGCAGAAGAATCTCTCTCTCTCTCTCTCTCTCTCTCTCTCTCTTAACTTCTCTGTCCTGACACTATCGTTTTTGAGTGTTTACTATTGGTCAAATTCTGTGAGACAGATACTATCAATTTTGTGGCCATTTTACAGAAGAAGAAACTGAGGCTCAGTGGGCACAATGACTGGTTCAGGGTCTTGCAGTGAGAGGGTGTGGGGAGATGAGGTTCATGTTGGCCTTCTGCAGGGTCTGGGACTCTGAGTGGAGTTTGGGGTTCCCGGATCTGCCCAGGAGGTCATTACATGTTGAGTAGGGTCTCTGCCTCTGTGGGCAGGATGGCAGGTCTAGGGGGATTTGCTGGGTCTCATAGCAATCCCTGGTAGAGGGCCAGAGAAAGAGAGGAAGACCCTCAACAAGATGGATTGGCACAGTGACTGTAACAATCGGCTCGGATATATCAGAGATGTGAGGTCGGTGCAGGCCAGGACACGGTTCAGATCTGTTATCCATAGGGGTGCTATGAGTCATAGTTGACTCAATGGTGCCCAACAAGAACAACAACATAGCAGGCAGGGGAGTGATGCCTCTGGGGTCTAAGACTGGCCTCCTCACAGGGTTCCAGAGTCTGTGACGCTGACAATGCCTGTCATACTGTCAGCTGATGTCCAAGTGACCCAGGGACCCATCCAGACACCCCTGGTCAGCATCTCTGATTGCAACTCAACGTTCGGCCCGATCAGCATTCTTGATGGAAGCAACAAGTAGGTGTCTGCCGAGGGGTGGGCCGTGGGCTCTTGGTTGGTGGCTCTCATGCAAGACTTGGTCCATCTCCATAACAGGCCCGTGAGACCCCCTTAATCAAGGCCTGTTCTAGGACTGAGAATAGAGGGTTGGAGAGGGTCCTTAAAGTCACACACAGCACACAACTTGCCACAAATGTTGTGTCCCCGAGTTGACTCTAACCTTCCATTGGGTTTGAGAGGCTTTAATCTCTATGGGAAAAGATAGCCAGAGAGTAGCTGGTAGATTCAAAACACCTGACTTTCTGATGAGCAGCACAGAACACTATGTGCCGCGCCATCAGCACCCCTTAATGAGTTGCCAGAGCCCAGGTTCTGTCCATTGCTCCTGCACCATCTGACAATGTGCACTAGCTATGGTCATGATTATTCAGACTGAGGGATTATGGGTGACCTGGACCAGGCTGACTGTTAGGAACCGAGAACTCTCCTACCTCCTAGGTGAAATGGGAGCCTGAGGTCCAGGCACAAAGATCTATTCAAGCTCTCAGAATAATTTGAGAACTAAAGTGTGCCTGATTCAGGCCGTGGTCTTTCAACCACTTGGATATCTGAGAGCTGGACAATGAATAAAGCTGACAGAAGAATAGATGCCTTTGAGTTGTGGTGTTGGAAGAGAGTCCTGAATATCCCATGGACTGGCAAAAGAACCAATATGTCTTGGAGAAAATGCAGCCAGAGTGCTCCTTGGAGGCAAAGATGTTGAGGCTTTGTCTTACATACTTCAGGAATGTTGCTAGGAGAGGCTATTGCGTGGAGAGGGACATCATGCTTGGAAAGGGAGAGGGGTCAGCGAAAGAGAGGAAGATGCTCAGTCAGATGGATTGACACAGTTACTGCTGCAACGCGCTCGAGTGTATCAGAAAGTGTGAGGACGGCACAGGACAGGACAGGGTTCGGATATGTTGTTCAAAGGATCGTTAGGGATCTTACTCGACTCAATGGCACCAAACAACAAGAAGCTCTCACAGGAGTCAGCTAGCTGCTTGCAGAGAAATAAAAGCAGCTGCCACTTGCAGAGTGCCTACTGTGTGCTGAGCACTCTTCTAGACCTTTCCTATGGATCCTCTCATTCTCATAGTGGTCCTACCATGAATCTGTGATTATTCCCCGTTTTTAGAGAAGAACAAACAGAAGCACAGAGAAGTTCATCCACTCACCCAGGGCCACACAGCGGGCAAATGGTGGAGGCTGGACAACCTGTGTTTTCCCACCACTTGTCAACATCTCCATGTTAGGTCTCCTCCTTCCCAGTCATGAGTGAGGGGGACTTACTGTTGAATAGTCTGAAGGTTTAAAAGAATGCAGTGTTTGCACAGTGAGGGAACTTCTTGGCCATTGAGGGTTGTTGGATCGACTTTGTTTATGGTCATCTTTCTGTGCAACTGACGACCCCTCCTGGTCCTCTCGAGTGGGTGCTGCTGATGAGGCCATTTGCTCCCTCTCCCCAAGAGCTGATTCAGTTGGGGTGTGATTTAGCTCAGCATTATAACCAAACAAGATCAGAGGATTCCTATGGGTATCTGCTGAGAAATACTGGCTTAGACTCATCTCTTGTTCAGAGGGGAAACTGAGGCCCAGAGAAGGGAAGAGACTTTACTAAGAGTGTCACAGAGAATTGGACCCCAAGCAAGAAGCAGGCCCTACAGGTCCCATCTGCACTCCTGCTCTGCTTTATTGGGCTCACAAGGACCACAAAACCAGCTGGCCCAAGACATGGCTGAAGCTGACTTCCCCAAGCCTGGCCTCACTTAGCAAGTCCCTGTCCTCTTGTAAACCTTGGGACAAAGGCTCTGTTTCTTGGAGATTTTGTTTCTTCAGTTATGAGCATGGGAATGACACTGACACCTTGCTGGGCACAAGGCATGGTATCAAATGAGACTCTCCAGGCTCCGGCTGAGAGTAGAGGCATCTCTCTACTGGACTTGTGGCTCAGGGTTGGAGTGAGGAGGACCCCATGTGTTTGAGCTGGAAATTCAAGAAACCTTTCTGTCTCTTCCTTAGCACCTCCCCCAAGATGCTGGTCCACCTGCAGAATCACATTGAAACAGTCTTGAACAATAAGGTAAAGCACTTGTTGGCTTTCTCAGGAGGAGGGCATTGCTTAACCCAGAAGACATGGTGAATGGATAGTACGGTTTTAGGTGAGGATAGGAGACAGGCCAGAACTTTTCAAAGTGAAGGGTCCCTTGTTGGGGTTCTTCAATGCGCCCATGAGGGCAAGAGAGATTTGGTCCAATGGTCCACAGGAGTCATGTGGGGACTCAAACTGGGCTGTACCTATGGGATTGGAGAGGATAGAAATCTATTCTCTGGCCAGCCCCCCAATTCTACGTCAGAGGTGAAGAGTGGAGAGTATTTTCTGGTCCCAGGGGACTTATGGAACAGAGGAAAAAATGAACTTGGACAAGGGCCTGGCACTGGAGCTGGATGTGGCGTGGAGTTCCATCCTGGCCTCCCTACTTCCCGGCTTGGACTCTTATCTACTCCATGCTGCATTCTTTGGTGCAGAAATGAAAACTCTTTCCCGAAAGGGCTGGGATGAGGATGAAATGAGTGTTTACTTGTGAAACATTTAGGACTGTGTCTGGCGGAGTGAGTGCTGTAGTTCTTGTTGCTGTTTTAGCGCTTGTCACTATGTAAGTCCCATTGGGTGGTTTCTCCCTCCCTGTTCACTCACCCCAGCCCCATCTCCTTCTAAGATGAATAACAAAAACAAACAAGCAAAAAAAAATCCAAACCAGACCTCAACCTTATGCATACCCCCAAACCCAGTGCTGTGAAGTCAGTTACAGCTCACAGCAAGCCCCCATCTGGGCTTCTGAGGTTACAGATATTTATGGGAGAAGGCTGTTCATTTTTCTTCAGTGAAGCCAGGGTGGGTTCAAACCACTGACATTTTGGTCAGCAGAAGAGTACACAAATGCACTGGCCAAACCACCATGTACCATCCTACAAGATGTATCAAGAGGGAGGTCTTCAGGATTTCCATCTGGCTGAGGTGGGCGCAGTCTGTCTTAAAAGGCCTGTGCGTGACTCAAGTACCCCTTGGTCCTACCTCTTGGCCTCTGGGCCTGCTCCTGCTCCCCTCAGAGCCAGCCTTTTCTGGGCAAAAGACTATAGGGTGGTTATGTAAGAAGGGAGTGGTGGGGTCTGCCTCTACACTGTCTGCTGGTCCAATCTGTCCCTGCCTCAACAGGCCCTGTCTGTATCAGGCTATGATGACCAGAGCGCCCTTGCTGTCCACTGAGCCCAGGATAAATGCTAGTCTCCTTAGCCTGGCATAGAAAGTCCAGCCTGGCTTAGCCTTGCTGCCCACTGCCAGCCCCTATGTGGTCACCACCCTTTCACACTGGATCTCTCAACCCGAAGGAGCAGACTCCCTCCCTCAGCCCTGGGGCCCCTGTGGCTAAACCACACAATCTCCTTTCTCCCCTCGGTGCCCACTTTCCCCACCAGCCTTTGGGCTGCTTCTTCTCTGGCTCTCCAGTGCCCTTTGTAAGTGCTAAGATACCTTCAGTGTGTAAAGAGAAAGAAGAGATTCCAAGTCATGGTGTGTGGATGGTTGAGGGACTTACAGACAGGAAGCCTAGGTCCTCTCCACTCCTGAGAGGTTAGACTTAACAGCTGCCTTCTTCTCTCTTGCTTTGCCATAGCTGTGCCTGGCCATCTCCAGCCTGATGCAGGTCATCAATGTCCACTTTGGCACTTTGATTGGTAAGACGTGGGAGTCCAGGGGGATGGGACAGGAGAGACCCTGGGAGGTCAGTCATACAATGACTGAATTGCTTGTGTGGACTCTTGTTATTGTTGTTGCTGAGTGCCATCAAGTTGAGCATGACCCATAGCCACTCTGTCAACAACAGATCTGAACCCTGTCCTGTCCTGTGCCATCCTTACAATCTCTGACACACTCAAGCCCATTGCTATAGTCACCGTGTCAATCCACCTGGTTGAGAGTCATTTTCTGTCACCATTCCCCCACCTTTCCAAGGATGATGGTTATTTCAAGAAGAATAACCTCTCCTAGCAACGTGCCCAGAGTATGTGAGTGAAGCTTTGCCAGCCTTGTCTCCAAGGAGCACTCCGGCCAACCCTTCTCCAAGACTATCTGTTTGTTCTTTTGGCCGTTCATGAGATACTTTCCTCCAACACCATAGTTCAAAGGCATCATTACTTCTTGTCATCCTTATTCATTGTCTAGCTCTCAGATACATAGCAACTGATTGAAAGACCATGATCTGAATCAGGTGAAAATAGAACAATTAGTTAAAGAATCTGCAATTCTTCAAGTTCTGAGATCACCAAGTCTTTGATTCTCAAATCTATGTATCTTAGGTAAAATAATCTGAAAACTAAACCCAAACTAAGTCTTCCAGTCACAAGTCTCAGATGAACTTAATGCCATTGCATCTTGAACTCTAGCCTCATTCATGTATTGAAATAATGGGATTTTAGAGTCCAGATTCTCATAGCTGAAAGTGTTTTTATGTAACTCTTTTGGTACCATCTCTTCTTCCTCGTCCTGCTTTCAGGGCTAGAAATTTCTCTCTGAGGCTCAGGGCTTTAAATCCCATTTCTTGCTGGACACTTCCTCCTGGAAGTCCTGTAGGCTCTTCCACTCAGCATCTGAGAGCTGAAATCCTTTTTCTTTGAACTTCCATCCTCTTGTTTTCCTTCAGAGTGGCCATCACCATCCAGGGAGGACTCCAGGGACAAGGCTTCCCTCTCTGCTCCATTGTCTGTTGGGCTTTTTCCCCTGCTGATTTTCCCAGGGTTCCTCCCTGCCAAAGGATGACTGATGCTAGAAGCGATAACTTGTCTTAGATGAATTCTCCTAGAAGTAGACCCTTAGTTAAGGATTTAAAGTGGTTTATGTGAAAAACATCAATGAAGAGTCAAACTCAAACTTACTGTTGTTGAGTCAGTTCTAACTTATTGTGACAGTCCATTGGATTTCTGAGGCTGTTAATTGCTTTAAGAGGAGACTGCCAATCTTTCTCCTTTAGAGCTTCAGGTGGATTTGAACCAGCTGAGAGGTGCAACCTTTTGATTACCAGCACAACTAGCTATGGATACACCACTGGAGTTCCCTTTGTGGAGCACAAAGCAGTAAAAAGATGAGGAAGGGAAGGTTTTTTAATGAACAAGTTATTGCCCTGGGCAACTGAGGTTCAAGTCCTTTGGGGAGTTTAGTGTTTTCTTACTTGAGAGACAAGAAGCCAAAGTACTTCTCTACCAATGTTCTTCAGTCATTGGTCAAGAATCCCCTTGTCCCTAGGAAAGTTACCTTCCAGAATTCTCTGTTGTGTCCCATTGCTCACATACTTAACTCTGTTCCTGTAGGCAGTCTGGCAAGTTTGCAGCCACTTTGAGATAACCAACTTAAAATAGTAGCCAAAATGGTAGCACTACACAAGGCTTCGGCAGGACTGTAGCCTATCATACAAATATGAAAACCGTGTAAATAGATTGACTTCATCTTCTTTTTAAGATCAATGTTCAGCAATATTTAAGAACTAGAGTGACAACTACCCACGTCTTAGCTGATCACAGGTTGCGTGGACTGTTGATGTGGAGGGACAGTGTTTCTTGGCCTGCTCAGTACAGCCTCCCTGTCTCCAGTGTGGTCCTCACGGCCAGGGCATCAGCAAGGATTCCTCAGCTTCCCCCCAAGCCTGCTTTGAGGTCACTCCCGCTTGATGCTCACCTCTGTCAACACTTTTCTGACAGCTTTGCTCCGGGTTCTCTCTCTCATGCTCTGCCATTGACGTTGGAAGATCCACAGCTGTTGATTTATAGCAGCTGCTCTTTGCCATTGATTGGCTCTGCCTTTGGGGCAGGGTTTGACTCAATCCCTCACCTAAGGAGCGGCTGCACTGGCATGATAGGGCTGGCTTGTGGGTGTTAGACCAGGAGGGATAGCTGGCAGCATTCTGTGGTTATCTGTGGTTGAATATCTTCTTCAGGGGAAACTTGCGACAATGGTTTTGTGAGGTGACATCATTGTCTCCAATCTGTGGACATAGATTCCAAGTCTAAAATTCTCAGTGCCCACCATGAACCCACTCACCTTGGTTGTCTTCTCTTCACGTAACCACCACTGCCTTGTGAGAACCTTTAATGGCCCAGCTCAAAGAACTTTCTTTTATTATTTTTCTCCCCCTACTGCCCAACTCTCTTATTACCTTAACACAAGACACCAGGGAGGAATAAAGTGACCTAAACTTTGAATTAACTGTTGCTCATTTGCTGTGCGACTTTAGAAAAATCAATCAGTCTCTCTGAATTAGATCCTTCTATCAAAATAAATGAAGATAAATATGCCTTCCTCTCAGATATGTTGCTACAAGATTAGATAGATGAAGTGGCTGTTATAAAATAGGTTTATGAAATGTTAACCTTTCTTTTTTTCCTCAGTAAGGTTATTCCAGCCAAAATGCATTAAATTGGATTCATCAAAGATAAGTGGCCAACACTAGGGATTGGTTAAGTGAATCATGCACACCTAGAACTTAGAATTTGCCATCACAAATTATCTGGCAAAATATATAGGATACTAAAGGATAACATTTACTGTAACTTTATTACTCCCATTTTACAAATGAAGAAACTGAGGTAGTCTAGCCATAAAGCTCATGTTTTTCACTAAGCTATACAGTCACACTGTTAAAGGGAAAGAGAAAGACCCAAGCCAAATGCATCAGTGTGACATTTCATTCCAGGCTTACAGAGAAAGAGAGACAGAAGAGAAAGTGCATTAACAGTGTATCTCTACATAGGAAATTTGAAATTCTGAATTAGGTTATTTTTCCCATAAATTTCCACAATGAATAAGCGTTACTATTTCAGAAGAGTCAATAGACTGTGAGTAGCTGGATCTTGAATGTTTGCTTTTTGCGACTTAAATTTGTTTACACTGAGCTCTTTGTGGCCTCCTTGTTTCCGAGCCTGGACTTTTTGACAGGTGCCTGATGCTAAGTGTACCATCGCTTGTTCTTCCTGGGTTATGTAGGTCTCAAACCCGTGGGTCCCGAGTCCCAGATTCGCTACACCATGGTCAACGCGCCCACCATCACTAATGACTACATTTCTCTGGACATCAATGTAAGTGCTGCCTTGTCCGTCCGGATTCGAGCTCTTACGGCCTCTGGAAGTCCTAGTGTTCTGACGATTCCTATAGGAGCAGAGGAACAGGGAGGCTAGAGGTAGAGGAACTAAGAGGGCTTTTCTTGAAGGGCATTCTGGGATAGGAACATGGCCTGGAGGACCAGCAGCATGTGATGCCTCAGTGGCGTGGCATCCAGGACCTCAGACTCTGACCTGGAGCCACCTCCCTGCTAAGTCTGAGTTGCTCCCCCTCGCACCCCCACAGGCTATGCTCTTCCTGCTGGGCAAGCCCATTGTCCTGCCCTTGGATGCCACCCCCTTCCTGTTGCTCGAACGTGTGGGTGCCAAGGATGCCATGACCACCTTGGGCCTCTCTCAGGACTTGTTTGACTCTGCGATCCTTCTGCTGCAGAAGGCCGGGTCCCTCAACCTGGAAATCACGGGGAAGCTGGTAAGAACTGAAGCTGCCGTCGGGGGCTCTTGGGATGGAAATGCCTTGTGATTCAGGCCAGGAGGCCCCACAGAGCCCAGTGGGTGGGACAGCTGGAGCTTTGGAGCCACAGGGTGATTGCTGAAAGGATCATATGGGGACTGTGGGCAGGAGTTCTTGTTTGAGGGGGAAAGGCTGGTCTTCCTCAGGGAATGGCAGTCCTAACATCTGTCATGTGGTGGGGGTTTGATTTCAGCACTCAGTAAACAATCAGCTGAACACATCTGTGCTGGGCCAGCTAATCCCTGAGGTGAGTGATGGTTTTTATTATGTCCGGGACTGACATCGGGAGTGGGGGAGTTGTGGGTCACAAGATCTCTGCTGTCTCATAGGATCTGTCCCAAGTGGAGTCTAGCATCTGTCCTTCACATTTGTGCCTCTTCCATTTGCCTTTGTGGCATTGACTGGGTGGCAGAGGGCTTAACCTGTAGGGTTTATGTCTTTGTCACAGTGTGTACTTTGCCTGGAATGCTTTTTCTCCTTCCCTTCTCTCATCCACCTTTAAGACAGAAACTTAGGAATCGCCTCTTTGGACAGACTGAACCCTTAGTCTGATCCAAGTGCCTCCTCTGAAACCCCTGGCCCGTGAGCTGCCCTCCCCTGTAGCAGGGTTCATGGTGGCTATGCCTGGGTAGGCCCACCACCTCCCTCAGACCCTGAGAATGGAATGGAGCACCTGCCTGCCTTTGTCACGTCTTCTCTTCTTCCTCTCTGCCCCCAGGTGACCCATCAGTTCCCCCAGCCCATGCCTTTGGTGCTTAAGGCGAAGCTGGGTGCCACACCCATTGCCTCACTAGCGCACAACAATGCCACACTCCAGCTGCAGCCCCTTATTGAGGTTCTGGTCGCAGCCTCCAACTCTGACTTCCGGTCCCTCTTCTCCCTGAATGTGGTGAGTGAGCCAGAGAGGGCTGGGATACCTCATTTCCTTCTGCATGCCCCTCATTTGCTTTGTTCTGGTCACCTGATCGCCTTGCTGGTCCTTGATCATATCAGGACACAGCCATCTTATCTTTGTATGTGCTATGCCCTCTTTCTAGAATATTCTTCTTATGGCTCTTGGCATGATTGGCTCCACCTTATCTTTCAGTCCCTCTTCAGGGCAGCCCTTCCAGATCACCTTGAATAAGATGGCCCCTTGTCAGCTCTCCGCACCACCACCCTGATTTTTTGCACTCATCAATCTCTAAAAGAGCTCACCTGGCCACGTCGGTTACTTGTCACCTCTCCCTTTGTCCTGTGTGGATTCCCGAGGACAGGGTTTGTCCTCTTCACGTGGTGATCCCAGGACCCAATGCAGTGCCTGGAGTATGGCAATGCTCAACAAATACCTGCTTCCTGAGTGATGGAGGGATGGGCGACCAGCTGACGGAGCTGTTGATTCTGCATCATCTTACCCTGTCTTCCCATGTGGCCCTTAGATGGTGACCTTGAGCCTCCAACTGTCTGTGTCCAAGGTGAAGCTTCAGGGGGCCACAAAGGTGCTGGGGTGAGTAGGATCTCCTGGAGCTAGTAGCCTCAGTGTGTTTAATGGGTCTACAGCCACCCCAGTCCACCAAGCTGAGTCCCTTGGCAGTAGGAGGAACCTGGGCTGTAGTTCTGTAATTGCCCCTGGGTGGGAGGCACAGGACCCAGTTTGAACCCTCCTGCTTCTTTTCCAGGGACATCGGGCTCACTGTGGCATCCTCCAATGTGGGCTCCTTTGATGTGAGTCTAGGGATGGGGTCCCCAGAAAGTCCTTTACTGGATGGGTTGGCCTTCTGCTTGAGAAGGAGTGTGCGTCACTGTCTGTGCCACCATAACTCGGGCCCCTTCCCATGGTGCACAGAGACAATGGTCATCCAGCTCGTCCATCCCCCCCCCCCCCCCCGTTGTCTATCTTCTCACAGGCCATCTGCCTGCTGGTCATCTGGTCAGCCTGTCAACAGCCACAGTTATTCAGTGGGTTCTGTCAGCAGCCCGCTGGCCACTCTGTCATTGACGGCCCAGTCACACAACCCTCAGACAGAGCCTCAGAGTCCACCAGTCAACTAGACATCAGCATTAGACAGAGTGCCGGCTCCCCTCAGACACCATGGAGGGGCCATTGTTAGTCAGTACATCCCGTCAGTCCATCCGTCTGTCAGATAGTCTTTTCCTCAGCATAAGCGGGCCTGTCAGTCATGTGGCTTATCCAGTGGGTGGTTCTTTGTTTGGAGAGGGAGTGTGCATCAGCCAGTCTGTCAGTCCATGTCTGTGTCAGTCTTGAGAGGAGATCATTCCATCAGATCTCCTGTCTGTCTGTCAGTAATGGTACCATATGCCCAGAGGCTGGTCCTGCTTCAGCGGTGTGGCTGAGTTCTTCTAGAACCCAAGACAGGAGTGACCTGGCCACCTCCTCAACCCCTGTCCCTAACGTTTGTCTGTCTGTGTGCGTATGTGTGTCTAACTGTCCATTTCTCTCATGGCCTCATCTCCTTTTCTCTCATGGCCTCATCTCCTTGACTTTGTGACTGCAGACACGTAAGGTGCATGCTCTCGTGAGGAACGTGTTTGAGAAGCCCCTGCTAGACCACCTCAATGGTGAGCCTCTCTCTTACCTCTCTTTCACCCTGCACCCCGTCTCCTCCTGCTCCACAGCCCCTTCCCTGCTCAGCCCCACACCCTCCTCATCTCCAGGGCTCTGTGGTTGGAAGTTCAGCCACCCGTGCTCGTATCTACTCAAGTGTGATCGTGGCTAAATGACTTCCCCTCTCTAAGCTCCAGTTTTCGTTCTGTGAAAAATGGGCCCAATAATAATGTTCCACCTCCTGGGACTGTGGCCTTACCTCCTGGGAAGCTGCGAGGATGCCATGAGGACCTGGGCATGGGCTTACCTGTGGGACATGCTCCTTGAATGACCCCTGAGTGACTCGATTTCTCCTTTTCTTCCCACAGCTCTCTTGGGCTTGGGGATTTCCCTCCCCAGTGTGGCCAACCTCTACTACCTGGCCCCCAGGGTCCTTGTCCATGACGTGAGTGCTTCGGAGGTTGGGTTTGCTGAGGGGTGATCATCTCTCTCCTTATTTCCCTGCCAGGCGAGGGTACCTGCTAGGACAGGTTCCAGTGAGCTAGAATACCTGAGACACCATGACACATACTATTACTTGCCCCTTAGGCCTCATCATATTTTACACCAGGTCTTATCAGAAGATCAGGCCTTCAGTTGTGCCCTGGCTTGGACTAGGCTCCTCTGATGTCTGGGACAGGTAGAAGTGTTCTTTAGAGTTTTATAGTCAAGCCTCTAAGGCTGGCTAGGAGAAAGGGGCTTCCTGATTCTTCTAAATCACTTCCCTTGGATCAGAGGTCATGGGCCTGGAATGACATCCAGTCACAACCACTGTCCATGCCGAACGCCTACAACTTCTTTCCTCTTTGTCTTGAGTCACTGCCAACCCAAAGGCACTTGGTTCTAATCTACCAACTGCTCCATGAGAGAAGCGTGACAATCTCCTCCCGTGCAACTTACTGTCCTCTGTGATCCTGCGGGAGGGCTAACTGTGAGTTGGTTCCTACTTGACAGTACATAATAACACAGCAGCAGTCGTTACAGGAGCAGGTTCATGGGTCTTTTCTCCATTCTCCTGTGGGTTTAACGGCCGAGCTTTTGGTTACAAGACGAGCTCATTAACCATTGCCACACCAGGACTTCTTACCTGTTATAGAAAAGGATGTTGTTGTGTACTACAGAGTCGGAACCGACCCATGGCTGAGCCTCTCTGGTGGGTTTTCAGAGGCAGTTAATCGCACGGGAGGAGACTGCCCATCCTTCTCCTACGAAGCAGCTGGTGGCCTCAAAGCTCATGCCTTTGGGATTGCAGCGTAGTCTCTTGCCACTAGGCCACCAACGCTCCCTATAGAAGGATAATTGTCCTAATTTATTCAACAAGACATGCAAGCATGAAAAACTTAGCTTCTACCCAACCTCTGTATGACAATGAAATTCAATCATACCATCCCTTTTCTAAAACAGATGTTCCTTTGCTTAAGAATTAAGCATTAACTTTAATTAATTAGCTTAAGAATGAACCCAGAGGCATTTGTGTGATTCATCCCCATGAGAAGGGGTATACAGCTCAGTATATAAGAAGCCAGGGCCATCAGGAAGACATGCCCCAAGACTTGCCCAAATGGTCTCCATCAGTGGCTACCTCATCCAGTCAATTGGATCAGGACTCAAAGGTCTCTAGACCAGCACTGCCCGAGAGAACTTTCTGGAAGACGGAAATCTGCACTGTCCCAAACAGTAGCCGCTACCAACCATGAGGCACTTGTGGCTATTGAGCACTTGAGTGGAATTTTACATTTTATTTCATTTTAGTGAGTTTACATTTAAGTTAGCCATGTGCAGGGTAGTTATGGCTGCCACATTGAACCCTGGCCAGGGCTCTTGAACACACGGCCAGGGACTGGGTTGGGCTCATTTTCTGCTAGATCTTCAGCACCTGGCACAGACCTTCATTTATACTAGAGGCTGAATAAAGGTTTGTTGATGGGTGGATGAACGATCAGCAGGCCCTGGAATAGTGCAGTGAAGCGGCAGAGAGAGTAGAGAGGCATAATGGCGGTGGCGGGTCCTGCTGGGGAGGCTTGGTAAGAAGATTCTGGACTCCTGGCCATAGCAGCCGTGACTCTAATGGTGCACAGAGTACCAACCCTAATTCTTGTCCTGTTTTCTTGTAAGTGGGTGGGATGACAGAGTGACAAAGCAGGAAAGTGAGGCCTAGAGACGCAAAGGACTCTCCCAGCATGCACAGCGAGAATGAAAGATCTTGAGCTCAGAGCTGCTGGACAGCCAGGAGCCCCACCTCCTTTCATGTGACCTCTGACCTGGCCTCCTTGGTTGTTTTTTTTTTTGTTTGTTTATTTGTTTTGTTTTTTACACCTCCAGGGCTATGCTGTGATATCCAGCGATCTCTTCTACCAGTGCTGAGGTGGGACCACCAGGAGGGCTGGAAGGGTCAGCTTGCTCTTCAAGGACCCTCTCACCTCAAGCCACAGTGGAAACTGAGATGAAGCTACACTCAGCGGCCACCACCACTGAGTGGGATGCTCCTGCTTCTGAGTGAATCTGGGTTCCCCATCTTCTCCGTCTTTTTCCCTTCTCCTTCTTCCACCTTCCCTCACCTACCTCTTTGTGTGGAGCAGAGCGCCCTCCAGGCTGTGCACCACTGTCCTCTCTTGCATTAAACTTCTCTTGAGCTGCAACTTTCAGCCAGATTTGACCAACTCTGTGTATGTGAGGTCAGTTCCCTGCCCACCATCTTTGGTCTCATTTGGGGTTGGAATGGCCAAAGCTGCCTTGGACATGGAGAAGAAGTGACCACATATCTGTGGGCCACATCTGTTGGTCCTGTCACCACCTTATCCAGAACTTATATTTTGAGAGGATCCTAGAGAGCTGTGTGAATAAGCTGAAATTGGGAATGCCCTGGTGGCCCTTGAAGCACTGTTTTCCCCTGCCTGCTGTCACGCCTGACACATTCCCCCTCTACAGTTTTACATCCCATCTTGTCACTAGACCTTCATAAGAGCTCTGTGAACCAGGTAAAGTCTAGAGTTTCATCTTAAACCATACTGAGGCTCATGTTAACCTAAGTGTCTCTAACTTGCCTCATTAACATCCTAGAGGTGAAGATTCACAACACATAGGATAATTACATCAGATCACAAAACAAAGTGCTGGGTGCACAATTCATTCTGTAACTCTGAGCTTCAAGACTGGCTTTATCTTTAGTGTTTGAGAGGTGGAGGGAAAAAAAAGGTGGTTGGGGAATGCTTCCCAAGGAAGGAGTCTCCAGTTGGTCCTGAAAGATGGCAGAGTTTGAAGCTGTGGCGAGGTTAGTATTGTAAAGGGGTCATTCAGGGAGTTTTGGGGCCTGGGGGAGCAGAGATCATAAATGTTGGTAGGAGTCTAAATAGGTGTTCCTTAGAAGGGGTCGTCCTGGGCTCTGGGGCACCTTGAATCCAAATAAAAGCCCAACTGTTCTGCACAGTTATACTTTATTTATAGTACAATTATAATATTAGACAAGTTGTTTGATGCATCTGAGCATCTGTTTATCTGTAGAATGGAGATCTGTGTAAATTACTTAACTCAGGGAGAAATGGTGGTTGGCTTGTTAGGTATCACTGAGCCAATTACTGACTCTGAGTGACTCTTGGCTGTAATATTTTTGGAAAGAACTTTGGTGATACAGTACTTATGCACAATCAAAAGGTCGGCAGTTCAAACCCACTGGCCACTCTGTGGGAGAAAGATGTGGCAGTTGGCTCCCATAAATGGTCCAACCTTGGAAACCCAATGAGGTGGTTCTAAGCTGTCCTATAGGGACCCTATGTGTTAGAGCCAACTTAGTATCATCAGAGCTTCTGCCTGAGTTTGAACCACCCATCTTTCGGTTAGCAGCTAAACACTTAACCGTTGCTCCCTCGGGGCTCCTTCTTGCGGGGCAGCTGTGAGGATTAAATGGGTTGGTGCATAGCAAACTCTTAGCACAATGACTGGCACGGGTGAGGCGCATCAGTATCACGGAGCTTCACCTCTCAACGTAGAGGATAATGTAGTTACCCAGGGAGCAAGGGAGTCTTTGAAGACCACTCAGTGGGAGGGCAGCAACCAGGACTGGGTCTCTGGTCCTTGAACCCACTCAAGGGGCTTTTTCTCATGCCCACCTAGCCTGCAGCCCCCTAACCCTACACCTGGGATGGTCTTGGAGAAGGGCAGGAAGGCCAGGGGACCAGAGCCAGAGGCGCACTGAGGCGGATCTGTGGCTTCGAGGAGGATGTGAGGCCTGTCTGTCTGTCTATCTGTCGGGGCGGGCCAGAAGGGATCAAAAGATGCTATCTGCAGGGTTGCCCTGGGACCGGCTCCTCCAGCTCAGGCCAGGCTCAGGATGGAGACAGGCTGGGCTGACCCAGCCCTGCGTGCTCCCTCGCCCTGCCTGGACTTCGCCCTGCTGGGTGATCTCAGGCAGGTTCCTTCTCCCTCTGGCCTCAGTGGACACATGTGCACAGGGGGTATAGCGGCTTACTGGATCTTCGAGACGTTTTGGCTCCTCGTGGGGTGGATGATGAAAGCTCAGCCTTTCTGCATTCCCTTCACCAGGGATGGCCCATTAAGCATGAAGCACCTCAAGGCACCTCCATCAAGCCTTCCTGGGGGTTAGTGGAGGGCAGAGGGAAGCCCCCCACAGCCTGGGCATGGTCCTGGCTCCAGCAGGTTGATTCTCCATGTGACCTGGGCTCCCCTTGCCCTCACTGACTGCCAGTCTTGGTCTTGGGAGGCTGCCCTCTGCGTGGCACCCTCTCCCAGAATTTCCCTCAGGAGGGTCCTTCTGAGGATGCCCCCTGGGCCATTGCTCACCAAGGTCTCCAGGCCTTTACCATTGACCCCTCATCCCACCCCCCACTGCAGACCCCTTTCTGTGCCTTCTAACATCAGCTCTAACACCCCTAGCTCAGAGGAATCTCCTATGCCCTTGCTTTGTTGGTCTCCCCAGCTTTGGTCCTTGGAAGTGGGTTTATGGGGGTCGACCTGCCTCATACCTCCTCTCCCTTTAGATTCCTTCCTCAGGCAGGAACCTTGCTGCCTGCTTACTTCCAGTGCCCTGCACAGACCCACCAGCTAGTAAGTGCTCATTAAATGCTCATTGAAGGAACGAACAAGTCTTCTCAGCCCAGGAGTGGGGACAGTGTGAGCACGATGTCATTCTGGACTCTGTCCCCTCCCAATGCCCACCCCCAGCCAGTCACCCGGGCTCCTGAGCCGCCCTTGTGCTCTGTGCTATTTACGTTGGAACAGACTGACATGTCACGTGAGAGTCAGGGCTCCTGTTCCTTGGGCCTCCAGATAATTATCTGGGCCTTATTTTGAGTATTAAACCCTTAATTATCCAAGCAGCTAATCAGATTTCTGAATATAAGGGCCTCCTCGTCCCAGGGTCCGGAGGCAGGGGTCAGTCAGCTTCAGGATTTCCCGGGCCCGGCAAGGTAAGGACAGGCTCCACGGATAGCACCTTATCCAGCCCTGTCATCTTACAGAGTTGTGAAAACAGAAGCCCAGAGAGGGGAAGGGGCTTGCTGAGTCACACAGCGAATTATGGCAGGGCGAGGGCTCAGACCTGCATCCCAACACCAGCCCAGGACTCCTCATAACTATTAGTTACTATTTAGTTACTAACTCCAGCTATTTAACACCTGCTTGCATGTAGTATTTAGGAAAGAGACAACAGCCTCAGGGGGCCATCCTGGGCTCCATCCAGGTCAAGGGGAGAGCAGTGGGGAGAAGCCCCAGGTGCTGCTTGACAAAGCTCAAAGTTGAACTGAGGTCAAGGGACTGGAAGCATCGAAGAATGTTTGTCAGGCAGAGAGGGAGAGGAAGGGAGGGACCCCAGGTGGAGGAAAAAGTGTGAGCAAAGGATGGGGGAGACAGCAGATGTAGCCATTATGAATGAGATAGAATTTGTGAAAGGTCATGTTTAAACTAGGGATTGAGGGAAGACTTCCTGGAGGAGAGGAGGGCTGGACATGCAGGATGAGTAGGCTATGGACAGTGGAGGCAGAGCATTCTAGGAGGGAGAGACGGCCAGCAAAGGCATAATCCCCACCAAACCCCTGCAGTTACCTGTTGGTCTCAGAAAGAAACATCGCACAAACCACGTGATCCCAACACACTTCCTGCTCCAAGAAGGCAAAACCCGCTGTTCGAAGTGACTCAACACCCCTGACAGAGTGCTGGCTTGACCTAGGGGAGATTGGGATGGTGTTTGAGTCTCTGGGCTCAGTTTCCCCATCTGTGAGCTGGGCCTGGGGTTGCGGGCCACCTTCCCCAGTCCCTACAGCTCTGTTGGGTGGGCACAGACCTCACAGGTCCCTGGGCTGCTTTGTATGGACAGGCATGTGGGTGCCGGCACCTGCTGTCGCCCATGAGTGGGTAGTCATAACGGCAGAGGAAACAAAAGGATTGATGGCTTTTTAAGTCCAAATGGGTGTTTTTAAACTGAATAGAATGTGAGAGAGATCAGTCAGTCACGCTTGGATGAGGGAATGTGGACATTAGACGGCACTGTTCTCCCTCAGCTCTTCATACTCCAGCTCCTTCTCACCTGTTAGGCCCCAGTCCAGTCATCTCCTCCTCAGAGAGCCGGTCACTGGGAACACACGCCCATCTCCTCATTACCCCCATCCTTCATTTCTTTTCTTGCTCCAGACTTGACGATATGGGAGAAGCAGGATGGTCTCGGCTATATGCACTTTGTAACACGTTGTTGTTGTTGTTTGATGTTGTGAGCCGCCCTTGAGTTGACTCTGATTCAGTCAGCACAACAGAACCAAACCCTGCCCTGTCACGTCCCAGCCCCACAGCCTCTGCTGTGCCTACGCCTGCCCGTTGCTGCAGTCACGCTGTTGACCCCTCACAGTGAGGGGCTTCCTCTTTTTTGCTGACGCTCTGCTGTTGCAAGCACAATATCCCTTTTTTCAGAGACTTGAGGACATAAATCCACTGCTGTTGAGTGGGGTTTTTTGGTTTGTTTTTTTAATTTTTTTATTATTGTTTTCAATGAAAATTTAGAGACTTTGGATTTCCATCCATTCATTGTTACGTTGAGCAGTTTTTGACTCCTAGTGTCCCTCCCCGGGTTTCTGAGGCTGTGAGTTTTTACAGAAGGAGAGTGTCATCTTTCTTCCTTAGAGCGACTGGTTGAATCAAACAACCTACCTTTTGGTTAGCAGCCTGATATGTTGCTAGAAGAATTGATACCTTTGAACTGTGTTGTTGGAGAAGAGTGCTGGATATCCCACGGCTATATCTCAGAGAAGGCGCAGCCAGATTGCTCCTTGGAGGCAAAGATGATGAAGCCTTGTCTCACGTACTTGGACATTTGCTAGGAGGGACTATTCCTTGGAGAAGGACATCATGCTTGGGAAGGTGGAGGTTTGGTGGAGAGGAAGACCCTCAACCAGGTGGACTGACACAGTGACTGCAGCAATGGGCTTAGGAGTGTTGGATATTGTGAGGACGGCACAGGATGGGACAGGGTGCAGATCTGTTGCAGAAGTTGTATTGCACTTGACAGCACCTAACAACAACAACAACAACAACAACATCCTCCCCTTTCCTGTTTCCAAGAAAACCAAATCAAACCCCAAACCTGTTGCCCTTGAGCTAATTCTTGCTCACAGTGACCCTGTGAGCTGCACAGACGAGGACGACCCCCCAGGGTTTCCCAGGCTGCGTGATCTTTACAGAAACAGCCTGCTGACTCTTTCTCTCAGAAAGCAGTGGGGTCAGTTGTTGACTTGTGCAGCTGAGCTCCTAATCTCTGTGCCACGAGGGCTCCACTGGCACACAGCAGGCTCTCATTCAAGATGAATGAGTGAACGAATGTGCACCTAGGCTGGGACAGGGGTGTGGGCTTACTGGAGATACCCGTGTCAGTTCGTGAGGTGCCCCTCAGTGACCAAGTCCACTGTCAGCAAGTGTCCAGTTGGAAGCCTGCTCCTCTAGGCTGACACAGGCTGAGCCCCCTACCCCCACCTCCTCCTTGATGCTTTACCTTTTCAGCCAAAGTTCAAACCCGAAATCATCATTTGGCTTCTAGTTGGGAGAATTTTGGGCCTTGGTGAGTGTAAAAGAGGGATTTCTGTGGAGGGAGAGGTGGGCTGGGACTTTCCTGGGGACCCTGAAGGGTTTGATGTGAGAGGTTTGGTTTTGTTACTCACGGCCTATGAGACCATGGATGTGTGCCTCAATTGTCCTATTAGTCTGGGTTTCTGGCACTTGAACCAAATATAACATCATCCTCACAATGCAGACTGTTTGGAGTGCATCGTACCCAATTCACAGATGAGGAAACTGAGGTTTGGAGAGGAAAGTAGCTTTCCTGGGCTGGTCTCAGAGGCCCCATGTCTCATTGTGCCACTCCTTGACCCCTCTGGAGAGGTAGTAATGTTTGTGGAAATGGGTGGAGCCCAAAGGCTTTGGGGCCCCCAGATCATCCAAGGGCCTGCTCTGTGTTGAGAACTAGGAGGTCCCCAGGGTCCCCTTGATGGGCTGCACCAAGATCGGGCCCCTCTGGCACAGGTGGAGCCATGCTGTCAATCCTGTGCCTGGCACTTGGTGGACTGCTGACGGGCACACGTGCTGACCCCGGGGCCCTGCTGCGGCTGGGCATGGACGTCATGAACCACGGTGAGCAACAGGGGGCTGCTAACTGCTCATGCCCACACTCCTAGAGCGTCCTGTTTCTCAAACCAAACCAAACCTAAGAGCAAAGTGCTATGTTCCCATTTCACAGAGTGGAGAAACTGAGGCCCAGAGATGGAATGGTTTACCCAAGGTTCCCTTAAAGAGGGAAATCCTGCTCCCCTGGGGCTTCATTTTGGTCTTGGTGACCACGGTTGGTGGTCACTCGGACTGTGGGAGTTATTAACCTTGATTCAAATCCCGCTTCGCCAACACCTTACTGTGTGACCGCAGGTAAATGACTTGCTCTCATTTACCAAGGCTGTGTTTCTTTGGCTCAGTGGTAAACGTAAAGAAATGTAAGGTGGGTGACCACGTCTTCCCTGTCAGGATCAAATGAAATGTGTAAAATTGCTCTGGGAGTTCTTAGAAGCATTCATTTCCCACTTCCAGCTCCCTGGCTCCCTGGTATATGGAATCACCTTCAGATTCAATGGGCTAATGACAATTCTACCAGTTCAGTGTCTGTCTCAGCAGTAGCTTGTGGCCAAACTGGCAGCACCATTTGGAGGGGATGCCTTCCAAATCTGGGGACTCAGCATCTCTAGTGTTTAGGCTCACAATCTGCCTTTGCAGATGTTCCCAGATGTACCCCACATTGTCTGGGTCTGGGAGTAGCAGACCCGTGAGGATAAAGTCTATACTTTAACTCGAAGTTCAAAGCCTCATGAAGCGTCCCTTGCAATTCACTCTAGTTTTTCTGTGATGTCTCTACCTGTTTTCAGACATGTTGCATTATTCCCATTCCCATCTTTGTACTTACTATACCCATATGAGAGTGGCGCCTTTCATATCTCTTTGCTGCCTGATGAATTCCTACTCCTCCTTCAAAGACCAAGTAATATGTCACCTCCTCCAGGAAGCTTTCCCTGGCTCTTTCCTTCCTGACTTGGGATTCTCATGTGGTTCCAACAGCTTCATGCTCACCCTCTTATGGCCCTTGTCACTTGTTCATGTCATTGTGGGTGACCCTGCCTCATCTATTAGGCCAGGGAAGGGATGGAGCTGTGTGTGGGTCATTTCTAGGTCCCCACCATTGCCAAGTCTGGGGAGAGATGCAGTGACTTTGGGGCACCGGGTGGACACCTTTAAACAGTGTGGGCTTGGGAGATAAGAGACTGACCCAGGTGGGTTGGGAAGCACAGGGGAGCCTCACTGACTGTCCCTCTGGCTCCCTTTGCAGAGGTCCAGAGTGCCATGGAGGAAAGTCACATCCTGGAGAAGATGGCAGCTGAGGCGGGCAAGAACCGGCCAGGGATGAAACCCATCAAAGGCATCACTGAGTACGGGGCACTCCCGGGGTGCAGCAGGGCAGAGGGTGCTATGGGGACTTGAGAAAGCCAGGTGAGAGCTAATGCGGGCCGTGAGGCTCTTCCTGCCTTGCTGAGAGACCTCGGACAGCTCACTGCTTCTACCCAGACCCTAGCCTCCCCAGCTAGCCACGGGGACAATTCCTGCCCAGTAATCGGGGATCATCATGAGGAGACCATGAGGGTGACAAAGCCAGTCTCTGACTGCCTGCATGCGGCAGGGACTCGCTGAGTGCATGTGAGATGGCATGACAGTTCTCAAATGGCAGAGCTGAAAAGAATCAGCAGTCAGGGATGAGGAAACATCAGGGATAGATTGGAGGGGTCACCTTAAAGAAGTTCGGAGAAAAATTTTGTCGGACTATTTGGACTTAGGGAGGTCTGGTGGCCTAGTACCAGGAAGCTGCACTGCAATCCCAAACACATGAGGTTCAAGGCCACCAGCCGCTCTGTGGGAGAAGGATAGGAAGTCTCCTCCTGTGTGATTAACTTCTTCTGAAAACCCACTGGAGGATCAGCTATGGGTTGGTTCTGACTCCACGGCACACAACAAACAAGATTTGGATTTAGGGAGCCTTGCTGACATAAAGTATTGGGTTGCTAACAGAACGATCAGCAATTCAAACCCACCAGCATCTCTTTGGGAGGAGGGACAGTCTCCTCCTATAGAGATACTCCGTCTTGGAATCTTGTGGTGGGTTACCATAAGCTGGAACTGATGTGATGGTAGTGAGTTTGCTTTTGTAGGTCGTACAGCCCTGGTAGCGTGGTGAGTTACGTGTTAGGCTACTAACAAAATGGTTAGTAGTTCAAACCTACCAGCTGCTCTATGAGAGAAAGATGACGGAGTTTCTTCTTGTTAGGACTAACAGCCTTGTCAGCTGGAATCAATTGCTCGAGAGTGGACTGGGTTTGGTGTCAGGTCAGCAGGAAGTAGGATTTGATTAGCAATGTCTTCCAAGAACACAGGATGGGCAGGTAGGGGGATCTGTGCTACATCTTTGCTATCCTGAAACTTGACTGGTAGTTTCTAGAGGTAATTTTGTCCCCAGGGGACATTTGGCAATGTCTGGAGACCTTTTGATTGCCACAACATGGGAGAGGGGAACCAGGTAGAGGCCAGGGATGGTGTTAAGCATCCTATGCATAGAACAGCCCATAACAAAGAATTATCTTACTGCTTTTGGAAACCATTAATTAATTGGGAACCAGTAATCTAGGCAATCCTCCCATTGGGGAAACTGAGGCCCACAGAAAGAAATGGATAAGTTCAAGATCATACAATGTGTCAGCTCACAAATTGTAACTGCCTTCTTCATACAAATTGGTTTATGTTCAGCCTTTTTAACGGGTTCCATTGTAATGACATGAGGTAGACTTCACCAAAGTGGAATTTCCCCGAGGCTGCCCAGCAAGGTGGCGAAGGAGCAGGTCTAGGACCCAAGGGTCACATGCCCAGTTCTCATTCCTGTGGATACCTGTCTCCTCCTAGTCTAAAGGTGAAGGACGTCCTGGTGCCTGTTATCACGCTGAGTTTCGTACCCGAGGTGGGCGTCTTTCAGTGTGTGGCCACCGGCATGACAATCACTGGGAAAAGGTGAGTATGGGGCTGGCAGTTGGGAGAGGAGGACTGGCCTCTCGGCCTGCCTCTTTGATGTGCGTTTAGTGAGCACCTACTATGTCCACCTGGATGCTTTGATGTGAGATGGTGCAGATTTGTGTCCTAATTTCCATAGAAATGCCAGATTGAGTCATGGATCTAGGACAAAGAAAGGTTTCAAAGTGAGGGAATCAAGAATGGCTTCTAGTAGGTAGTGACAGCTGAGAAGAGTTTTGAAGGATGTGTAGGAGTTCACTAAGTCAAGCTGGAGAGGAAGGGCTAAGTGTGTGACCTTGGTCAGATCCTTTCCCCTTCTCTGTTCTGTTAGGAGGTCCTCCTCCTGCTTTGTCTCCCATAGCTGTTGAGACGGTGTGCAAAGAGAGGGCAAGGATAGCGGCTTCAGTAATAGGGATCTGCATGATGCCCACCTGTCCCTCCCTCCAGCTTCATGGGTGGGAACATGGAGATCATCGTGGTCCTGAACATCACAGCAACCAACCGGCTTCTGCAGGATGAGGAGACGGGCCTCCCTATGTTCAAGAGCGAGGGCTGTGAGGTCATCTTAGTCAGTGTGAAGACCAACCTGCCTAGCAAGTAAGAAGCTCTGTGTTGGGGCCTGTTTAGGCTGGGGTGGAAGGCTGGTTCCTTATTCACACAGCCCCCAGCATCCCATGTCCACTGTACACCTTTGGCCCTATTTCCTGTTTCCACATGTCCTGTTAAATTCCTGACATTCATGCACCTATTTACTATCCTCTTGTTTGTGTCTAGCATGCTACCAAAGGTGGTCAACAAATTCCTGGACAGCACCTTAAACAAAGTTCTCCCCGGCCTGGTGAGTGGCCCAAAGAAACCTGCACCGCTCATTCCTGGGGTTGCTTAGAACAGGCTTGGCAAATGCATCTTTCCTGGGTGCTGAAATTGATTGATTGATAGAGACCGAATGACTTGCTGATAAGGATTCTGAGGCTGTAGCTGGCTCAGTATGAGAGGGTGCTGTGATCATCTAGTAATGTCTGCCGTGAGAGGGGAGAAAGTAATGACAGTTTGTATAACACATCTTTCCATTCTTAGCTAAATAATTATTCCCCAGGGAACAAGTGCCCCTGTTGGCCTTGCAGCCTGTGGCAGGAGATACGGATTCTAGTCTAGGCTCTGCTATTGTCTGTGTGACCTGGGGCCTCAGTTTCCCTGAGTCCATGTCTTGGCAGAGTTTTAGGACTCCCCGTGGAGTACCATTTAGCTGTAAGAGGTGTGGTCCTCCATGTAAAGGACCCCCCTCCCCCCATAGCTCAGTGCATTCTCTGCTTCCAGATGTGCCCAGCCATTGATGCAGTCCTGGTGTATGTGAATAAGAAGTGGGCCAACCTGAACGGTGAGTGCACCCCAGACACACCACTCCCTCCCCCATTGGGGACATCAGAATGGCTGGACTTTAATATCTAGTTCCTCGATTAAATGCCAGCTCTCAGCCTAGACTGGGGAATAGAGATCTGAGATCATGATGTCCATCCTACCATTGTCCAGATGGAAAGCAAGGGTCCCAAGGGGCTCGGATGTCCTTGACTCTTAACCTTCCATTCAGTGTTCCATATACCCCCGCCCCCAGGACTTCAAGCACGGTGGCCTTTCTGGGCTCCCATTCCAGCTTTGTACCCCAAATAACAGCCCTGATGGTAGTGACACCTGACTGTCCTTTGCCAAGGGGATTTGCTTCTATCTTCATCTTGGGGTCCACAAAAGACCTGGTTTAGGGGAGAGGAAGATACAATTACTGACTCAAGACATTCAGTTATATCTCCGGCAGTGTGATGTGGGACAAGTGACTTCACACCTCTGAGCCTCAGATTGCTCATCTGTAAAATGGAGCCAATCATCCTCACTTTGCTGGTCTGTTGTAGATCCCACTGAGGTAGCCATGGGGAACATTTGAAAGAACCTGAGCTCTGTGGCCACAGATGTGAGGAGGTGGTTTTCTAGGCAAGGCTGTCTGTCTACCTTGTGCTGATGAAGTTACTGAAACCCAGTGATGCTAAGCAGCTTTTCTTGGGACCTAGAGGTTATGGTTTCCCAGCCAGGCTCAGGTGGGCTTTTCTGGTCTACTGCTGCAGTTGGTATCTTTCTGAGTGGAACCTTCCTCTTCCCACAGCCTCCATGCCTGTAGGCCAGGTGGGCACTGTCAAATACGTCCTGTCATCCACACCAACCACGACGGCAAGTTACATTCAAGTGGACTTAAACGTAAGCACCAGGCAACTGGGAGGCTATGATTCTAGGTTCACTGACCAGATGGGAATGTTTGCACCACAGCTGGAGGATGAGGGGAGGGGGCTCCCTCAAGCCATCATTGACCCAGCTTCACCTTGAGAGTTTAGCCTGCCTTACAGGGCATTTCCATGAAACTAAAATGTAAAGATTGCTGATGTAACAGCCAGTAATATGTGATTGGGTCAGCCCTAAACATGAGCTTTGGATTTCTCTTAACTGATCTCTGGGATTGCTAACTTTACACTCACCTTATTCCCAGGCTGTTTGCTTCTCAGTCTTACCTACCATTGCACAGATGGAAATGCTGAGGTCCAGGGTAGGGGCAGGGCTATGCCTATTCATTTGAACAGAACTTGCCTGCTCAACTCACTTGCTCAACAATGAGTAGGTGGCAGAAGTGGGTCCTTACTCAGGTCTCCGAAATCCCAGGTGACTAAGAGAAACAAATGGTCTAGGAATGGAAACAAATATTCTAAGATACCACCTCCTTGTGGAGTCTCTCCCTCAGGTGGTTCTTACATGTCCTATCTTCCAAATAGTCAAATTAACTGAGACCACCTAAGCATCTCTAGGGGAAACTTCGAGTGGTCTCATGACTTAGCCCCAAGCCTGAGTCCTACCCATCTGGACACCGAGAGGGTTGGACTACTGCAGCTTGCTCTGGCTCCAACGCTTAATGCCTTGATGATTTGGGGCTTAGTTTGAGCCCCATAATTATGAGGACTGAGATCCACCCCACATGGCTAAGGCTGAGTGTCCCCCACCTGCTGTCCTACAGCCCGTAGTACAGAAGCAAGAGGGAGACACCATTGAGCTTCCTGATACCGGGGGGGCACTTGAAGCCCCCAAGGACTATGCTGAAGGATCGTCACAGGTGCTGCTTACAGCTGCCTTCCTCACAGCTGAGCTCACCCTCCTGCAGAAGTCTTTTAACGTGAAAATCCCGAAGTCAAAGGTGAGTTGCCCAGAAGTGCCTGCCTCTTGTCTATTTCTGTCCACTTTAATAAAAATTCCTGCCTGATTTTGTCTATTCCAATAATTATTCTGAAGTAGTGGGATATCTCCCACCAGGACTGGGAGGTGCCAGAACTGATTTGGGTTTCTATCATAATTTTATCCCACCATCCTTCTGTCCAATAGACAATCATCTATCCATCCATCCATCCAGCCAGCCAGCCAGCCAGCCAGCCATCCACATAAACAGAACATGGTGTTGTATTATTGAATCAGTGAATCAATGCCTCTTCCATCTTCTATCCCAACACTCATGTACCCACCCATCTGCTCCTATAACTCTCTTTTATTTATTTACATACTCTTTCAATTATTAAACCATCCATTCTCTTTTCCCACTCATTCATCCATCTATTCACACCTATCCATTTATCTCATTCCACTCCACCTTCTTCCGAACCACCCTTTTCCCCATTCGTCTGTTCACTTATCCAATACCATTTTCCCAGAATTTCACAATGTATTAAGGTCTGTGGACATAGAAGTGCATAAGCCACAGTCTCAGTCACCAACGTGCTCGTTACTAGCTCAGCAGAGTAAAGAATGAGTAGTAAGTGTTGTGATAAAGAGAACATCAAAGGTATATTGTATTGAGTTAGAGGAGACATTGATTAGCATGAATTAGGGAAGATGTCAGTAATCCTAATGTTGATCTTTATTTTGTAGTTTGGTGGTGGAAAGCTCACCACAGGGACACTGGCTGGTTTCATCCCTGAAGTGAGTACCCAGCCACCCAAGATCGCCATGACCTCCCCTGTCCTGTCCTCCTCCAAATAAAGGGACAAGGGACTTCAGATACAGCCTTTCAATGCCACATCTTCCTCGCCAACATGAAAATGACCTGATTGCCCCATAACATATTTTGTGTCTAGCATGGAAACAGCTCAGCTTTTGCACATTGTAATTTCCTTGTTCAGAACACAAATAGCCATCTTGTGAGTTTTATCTTCTATTTCGATAACTCCATCCTGGCCTTTGTGTATTGTATTTTCTGTGTCCAAGGCGAAAATTGCCCATGTCATGAGAGATTCCTGGTTTCATCTGAAGCCACCCATCTAAGGGCTGACCCTAAGGAGACTTCTCTGTTTTCTGTAGGTGGCTAAGGCTTATCACAAGCCAAAGTCCTTGGTGACCAAGATAAAGATAAACAAGCCCCCCAAGGTCACCATGAAGACAGGCAAGAGTCAGCTGCACCTCCATGGCACCATAGAGATGTTGGCTTTTCGGCGGAAGCGCAAGGCTCTTGTGTCCCTCTTCCTACTAGAAACAGTGAGTATGGAAGCTCATCCCCTTTTTAATCTTACTCTTGTGGCTATTCAAGAATAGAGGAGGGATTTTAGTTGGTTGCTGAGCAATGGATTGTCAGGTTCAAGGATAGAGGGAGCGATTTTAGTTGGTTGCTGAGCAGTGGATTGTCGGATTCTTGACTGACTGATAGCAACATGTGATCCTACCACCTCTCGGGCACTGTTAAGCTGATACCTCATCCATGGATTTGTCATTAAACTTTTGTGTGACTTGAAAGACCAACCAACTGAGGGCCAGTGGCTTTGTTCTTTTCTTTCTCCACCATCCTTCTCCCCCTCCCTTCCTCCTTCTTTCTGACGTTCATTAGCATCTATAGGAATAGTGAAGGATCCACTTTGAGGATCATGGGAGTTCATAGAAGTCCCAATCCAGTTTGGGGACGTCACAGGGGACTTCCCAGAGAAGGTGATACCTGAGCTATATTTTTTTTGAAGCATGAGAAGAGTATGGCAAGGGAAGGAGGCTGATGCTGGGGAGATTGTGGATTCCTAGTGCCCTAGAAGGAAGTTCTAGCACGTGCAGAGGCCTGCAGCTGTAACATGTTCTATGCGGGTGCCTGTAAACAGTGCTAGTTACTTTGACATGTTTGTATAAGGAGTCCTGGTGGTATGGTGTGCTCCCCTGCTAACCAAAAGGTCAAGGGTTTGCGTTCACCAGTGGTCCACAGAGGAAAGACAAACAGTCTTCTCTCATAAAGATTTACAGCCTCAGAAACCTGATGGAAGATTGTTGTGAGGCAAATGCGACTTGCTGACAGTGGGTTCAGTTTGGGGTGCTGGTGGTGGTAGGTTGAGTGTTGGACTGTTGGTAAAAAAGTTAGCAGTTTGAGTCTGCTGGCTGCTCCTTTGGAGAAAGTTGAGACAGCCTCCTCTTGTTCAAATTTATAACTTAGGCAACTCAATAGTGGTGGGGAAGAGTAGTCATGAGCCGCATGGACTTGATGGTAATGTATTTAGTTCTAATTTTGAGTCCTGGATAAGAAGACAGAGCCTGGGTGGGCGTGTGGAGACTGCGGGTTTAGTCCCTGAGGCTGGGGTGGACAGGGAGGAGGACTCCACCATACTTCTACTTGTCTTGACAGTGGTTGGTAGTGTTGGGAAGGTGGTAGAACCAGGGGCCCATTGCTTTCTCCCTGCCCTCACCCTTAGCACTTCAACCTGGAAATCCAGTACTCAGTGCATGAGAGCAAGCTGCAGATGACCACTTTGCTGGACAGGTAGGAATATGCTGCCCCACACTGGTTTTCCTTTGTCCTTGTGTGAGTATTAGCACACTCACCCTGCTCCCTGCTCCAAGTTTTTCTCCACATGATCCGTTCAGCACAGCCCACACTATCAGGTTTCTCTAACCACTATGGCTGCCCTAGAACCTTCAGTGGCTCCCTACTATCTACATTATCTTTTCCCTAATCTTAACCTGGCATAGAAGTCGCTCTCAAATTCTTCCACCCTCATGCTCACTATTCAACAAGGCTCTTGTACAGCAAGTCTTTTCTTGGGTCCACCCTTTTCTGCCCTTGGGCCTTTGCTTGTGCTGTTCAAATGCCACCTACCAGGTCTCAGCTCAAATGATACCTCCTCCAGGAAGCCTTTTCTTATACTAATTAATAATATGACATTTGTTGAGCTCATTTATATGCCAAGCATGGGCTACACATATTATATTCATTATCCCACTTCATCTTAATACTCTAGGAGGACTGTCTTATTAACATTCTAGCTTTACATTGGGTTTCACATTTATTCTTGTCTTTGTCCAAATCTTTGATCTGACTTACACTAAGTCATATTTTTTCATTTTCAAACATCAGAATTTCATTTTTATTACACAAGACCATCATTTGCCTCATATAATTGAAAACTTGAAGGGTAGATCTCCCTTCAGGCATGGCTTAATCTAGGTATACAAGCAAAGACCTCAAGAATTTGTTTTATATTTCCATCTCTGCTGTTCACTTTGTTGGCTAAATTATCAGATTCTCCTTCTCTAAATAGTGACTAAAAGACTCTAGTGATGAGAGGCGAGACTTCTTGTCTAATGACTCTAACAAAGCTATCAAGTTTGCTTCTCACTGGTGCAGCTTGAGTCACTATAGCTGGGAGATGGAAAGTTATAATTGGCCTGGATCATGTGCTTATGGGGTCTCTGGATTCAGCTCTACCTGAAGGCCTTCAAATTAGAATAGAAAATAGGAAGTCTGTCACTAGGCTAAAAGATGGTTATTGGCCACTGGGTGACCATTATCACATGACTTGGTCTGGCTGTGCGGGAGAACAGGCAAGGTGAGGGGCCTCAGCTCTGCTGCCTGCCAGTATCTGAGACTGACCACCAGTTGGGCTGCAAACCTTTGCACACTTGGTCTTGACAAGAACAATGGACATGGTCAGGAGTCCTAGAGGGAAGAGACAGGACAATGAGAGGGGGGGGCGGGAGAACTATGGGAAATGGAATGGGTTGTAGTGAAATGTGGTGAGTGCCTCATCTCAGGGAGTATGTAAGCAGAGGCTTATGAGGGAATTTCCGGCAACAGGGAGTGGTCAGTGATTGAAATTCCCTTTTTCCAAGGCCAGGGGTCCTGGCTCTGACCGCTTGCCTCTCTTCCCTCTGCCTGCTCCTTTACAGAATATTGAGCCTATCCCGGGAGTCCTCATCCATCGGCCCATTCAACGTAAGTGTTTCAGTTCTTCTCGCTGGTCTGGCCAGAGGGCAAGACTGGGCCTAATCTACCTTGGTCCTATAAGCAAGGATTCCTGGACTGAACACAAGGTGATCAGAGCAAGGTCCCTGTGACCCTTAGGACTCTGATATCTGTGTGACTTTTGGGAAAGCCCTTGACCTCTCTGAATCTCTGTTTCCTTTTCTAGACAGCATTTTAATTGATTTTTAAAAACATTCCCCACGTGTAGTGGCAGCTAAGACTGGCCTTTACTGGCCAAGCTGTTATTATTTTAACGGTTCCTGGGTCTTCAAGAAGGGACTCTTGTGGTGCAGTGGTTGAAACACTTAACAATGAATCACAAGTTCGGTAGTTCGAACTCACCAGCCGCCCTATAGGAGACAGAGGAGGCAGCCCACTTCTGTAAAGACTGACAGCCTTGGAAGCTCCATGGGACAGTTCCAGTCTGTCCTGTAGGATCACTGTGAGTTGGAATTGACTCTGGCTGTGGATATTGCTGGTTTGGTGGCCTCGGGTTCCCACACAGACTCTGACTCCTGCAGTGACGAACAAGAGCAGAAGCAGCTGCAGGTCATGAGGTTTTGCGTTATGCTATTGCTTTGAGGGAACTCTGGTGGCCTAGTGGCAAAAAGCTATGCTGCAATCCTGAAGGCACATGGTTCGAGGCCACCAGCTGTTCCATGGGAGAAAGATGGACAATCTCCTCCCATGTGATTAACTGCCTCTGAAAATCCACTAGACGGTCAGCTATGGATTGGTTCTGAATCTATGGTACACAACCAAAAGAGCTATTGGTGTAAAGCTATTTAGTGGAAGCCCTGTGATTGGCTGCTATTATGTTCCACTTTCACAGATGGAAAAACTGAGGTATAGAATGGTGGTGAATGAATGACTGCAGCTACAGAGCTTACTGTCAGGACAGAGTGGGTTTCATAGAGCCCTACTGTCTCTTGAATCCCCCATCCCAGCTAGATGATCCAAAACTCCAGGTGTCACCCGAACAGGCACAAAGTGTGGGTGAAGGGCACAGGCCTTAGTTGAACAGAGTCAGGGCGGAGGCCCAGGGTTGATGCTGGCTGGACAAATGATTTGATGTCTCTAGTATTCAATCCTGTGACCCTCAAACCCAGCCAGAACAAACCAAACCCACCATCATGGAAAAGAGTAAAACTCATGGGGACCCCCACCCCCCCACCCAAATCGGGTTTCGGAGACTACAAATCCTCTTAAGAGGAAACTGCTCATCTTTCTCCCAAGGAGTGACTGGTGGATTTGAACTACTCACCTTTGTTTAGCAGTCTGATACATTACACTCTATACCAAAATGGCAAACCCTTCTCCTAATTGTTGGAGTGAATGAAATGGAAATGACTTGGGTGATAGGACATGGGTGTTTCTCTCTTCCCCAGGAGGAGAAACTGACTGACTTCATGGCCACTTATCTCCGAGAGGCCTACGTTCCGGTTGTCAATGGTGAGAGCTCTAACAAGCTCTGATTTTACTGGTGCCAAAAAGCACTTTTAATGGGAAGGGTTGCCTCATGAGTGGTATCAAAGCCCCATGACAAGTTCCAGGGTGAGGAGGGAGGCTGATAGAGAATGGATGGTCATTGCTGAACCTCTGAGATCAATACAATCTTATTTCCTCTGCCTGGAGACAGAGGCCTCTCCCACTATTTGGGCCCTTGACCTTGACTTCAGACCGTAAATCAGATCTTGACTCAGACCTTGGATGGCAAATACTTGATCAGGTATATTCTTTCTGCCTGTGCAACTGGCAGGCACCATAAATCAGTCAAGACACTATTTTTCAATACGCTGCACCACTCCTTAACTGATTGCAGAGCAAGTAGGCTAAGAGGACTCCCCCTGTATTTCTCAGATGTGCTCCAGGTCAAGTTCCCGCTCCCAGATTTTCTGGGCATGAGTTACAACAGAGCTGAACTGGACATAGTGGAGGTAAGTGGAAGGGATGCCAAGTAACACTTTTGGCCAATGGATGGTGGGCAAAAGTCCTTCACAAACTTGAAAGGATGGAAAAGAGCAACAGGTTGTCCTTCAGAACCCGAGCCCACTCTGGCCAGGGACTCTGTTATTATCTTACCGGCCCCTGTGGGCAAATCACTTCTTCTCCTTATGCCTGCATGCTTCTGTGCATAAAACAGTGATGGTAATTTGAGAACTGAGCTCATCCCAATGTCTTGTTGAGTCATTACGATAATCCATCATGGCAATCAGTAAGTGCTCAGTAAATGTTAGCTTTAGACTCCATGACAGATACTGTCCTTGGAGTCTTAGGCAAACATGTTTTCATTCTATGGCTCTACGTTGGGGAGCTCTGGTGGCCTTGTGGTAAAGAGCTGCATTACCAAACAAAGGCTTGTGGTTCAAATCCACCAGCTGCTCCATAGGCTAGGCAATCTCTTGCCTCTGAAAACCCAGTGGAGAGTCAGCTATGAGTTGGTTCTGATGCAATGGCTCACAACAACAACAACAACATGGCTTTACGGGAAGTAGGGGTACACATCCTCACTTGAGAAAAGTGAGGCACAGAATGGGGAGGGAGTCTCCCCAGGGTCACAAGGCTAGTCCAGCCTCTGCTTTTCATTCTCACGCTGGTTTCCACTTCCTGGCAGTTCTGCCTTCACCCCAAGCCTGGGTGGTCCCATCATAGCCTTGCCTCCATGCCGACCCTTTGCCTCCTCCCAGAATGCCCTGGTGATGAAGTTGAAGTTGGAATGATGGTGACACAACTTGCCCGGCAGCTGCTCACACACCATCAACTGACCATGCCCTGTGGAGGGGGTGCCCTGATGGGAGCCAGGGGGCCCCAGTCCCCGCCACCAGGAGCTGCCTTCTTCATTGGAGAGCAAGTGGGACAGGTCCGGGTTGGGGCTTTGGCAATAAACAAGAAAAAGGCCCCTACAAACATCTGGTGTTCCGCCTCCTTATTCCTGCTGAATAGACGTGCAGTTTTCTCACACAATGACCTTCCAGGAGAGGACCCTATCCCTATTTTACAGATCAGGAAACTGAGGCACAAGGAAATTAGCTCCCAGTGGCAAAACTTTCCCCACTCGCTTTGACAGGATCCCACATGCCCCTAAATCTGGGTGATTCATAGGGGTCTGTGGAGGGCCTAGGGTATCCCAGGAGCTCTCCCTGTATCACCTCCTTTAATCCTAACAACAGCTGAGACAGGCAGACACTGTGCCCATTTCACAGATGAGGAAATTGAGGTTTGGAAGGTAGAGTGAGTCACTGAGGCCACTTAGCAAGCCCAAAGACATTTCAATTGAATTTAGAATCGGGGCTTCAGAGTCAGCTTACCTGGATTCGAACCCTTTGCTGCTGTGTGCCCCGAGTGAGGCACTCCACCTTTCTGAGTCTCCGTTTCCTCTCCTGTAAGATAGCAATAATAACAGTACTGACCTCAGCAGGGTTGCTGTGAGGAGTCAGTAAGTCATGTCAGGCACCTTGCACACACATTTGAGCCACAAGTGAGTTTTGAGGGCAAGGAGGCACGAGCAGGTGGTGCTCTATGCTGGCACGGGTGGTGTGAGTGGTCACGGGCAGTGTATTGGGGGTGAGTGCTCCTATCAGCGTTCCTCTCACCAGAGGTCAGGGTGACCGACTGGCTGTGGGAGCTACATCTCCAGGTGTGAAGGTTTGTGTGGCATGTGAAGAGGCGTCTGGGTGTTGTAGGTGTCCGGCTCTTTGTGGTCGAAACCTGAGGATGTCTCCGGGTCTCAGAGAGGTCACCTGTGTGCTGATCAGCACTCTGACGTTTGCATTGATACCATTCTTTGCGTCAGCTGTCTTGACGAACAAATGTATTATAAACAGACTGGGGGGGGTGATCAATGCCATTTGATAGAATATTAAACAAAATGTATAACAGAAACAAACATGTGTCAGGGTGCTTCTTACAGCCAGTTAGCATCCCATGCCTGGAAGCTGCTGTGTTTGTACATGGGGCTGGGGGCAGTTGGTGAGCCCCTCTTCATGTGAATGGATGTGTATATGACACCTGGGTGCGTTTCTGTGTCCAGGAGACCAGCGCTCCCGGAACCTGACCACAGACCTCCTATCCCAGGTTGGCCTAGGCCCATGCCACAGCAGAGGGAGGGCCCTTCCTCGTTTGGCTTGGATGCCAGGACCATCCCCTTGTCCCTCAATGTTGACTATAATCCTGTCACACATCGTTTTCCTAGACTCTGTGACAATGGCAGCTTTGACACCAGCTTGGCGCCTGGGTAATCTGTGGGTAGCTTATACCTGACCCTGGGCATGCCAGAGCCGCCCCGTCCCCGCCCCTGCCTTTCACTTCACACAACACCCTCATGGCTACCTTACGCTCCCCGTTACCCTCCCCAGGCCCAGTGTGCAGATAGGGAAACCAAGGCACAGCCGTTAGCTGTCAGGAGGCCTGTGCTCTGAGGCCTGTACTGGCTCAGTTAGGGGTCCATCATGTGCTTGTGTACAATCCACAGCTCTTTTCTGAACCTCATAGGTACAATGGGAGGCAGGTTGAGTCCTTTAACCTCTAATATGGTTATTTAAGTGATAAGTTACTCAGGAATTACCCTCAGCTAAGCTCCGGTGGCCTAGTGGTAAGGAGCTGGGCTGTCAAGCTGAAAGCATGTGGTTAGAATCCACCTCTCTGCGGGAGAAAGATGGGCAGTCTGTTCTCAGCAACTTACTGCCTCTGAAAACCTGCTGAAGGACCGGCTGTGAGTTCGTTCCGACTCAATGGTACATAATAACAAAACCAAAAAGGGACCAACAGAGCACTCGTTGGTGGCCTAGCCCATGGAATGCTGAGCCGCTAACCCAAAGATTGTGCTTCTTGGGTGGTTTGAATCTGTTTGTGGATCCTTGGGAGAAAGCTGGGCTATCTCCTCTCGCGAGATTTGCAGCCCTGGCGACCCAGCGGAGGGTAGGCTCTGAGCCTGTTATAACTCAACAGCAATGAGTTTGAGGCTTTGAACTTAAAGGACTAGTGGCTGATGGGAGCTAGGTCGGCTTGAGGAGGCACCAGCTGGGCGAGCAACAGTGATTCTATTCTACTGCACCCGTGGTCCCTGCACATCTGTAAAACTCCCATAATCACAGATGAAATGGAGGCTCAGAGAGGTGAAGCAGCAGCTGGTCCAAAACACACACTATGTGTACACACACACACACACACACACACACACACACACACACACACATGACAGCAAGTGATGCAGTCAGCCGGCTTGGTAGGACTCCTGGGTGCCTCTTGGCAACCCACTTCCACCTGCTGAATCTGAGCTTTAGAACATAAGACGAGGAAGCAACAGTACTGCTCTCCCCAGCTCGTTCTGGTGACTAGATACAATATCGCATTAACTCTCCTTCCTCTTCTCTCCAACGTTAAAAAAATGTAAAAAGACGAATAGCACCAATTGCTGGCAAGGATATGAATTAGCAGCAGCTCTCATATATGGCTGGAAGGAGTGTCCAGTGGGCCAGCCACTTTGACTAACTGGGGCAGTCTAACAGAGCTAAATGTGTGGATTTACTATCGGGGTCCAGCACGTCCACTCTTAGATTTTTACCTAAGAGGTTTGAAAAAATAAAACACATGTTCACAGATTGGGCAAGAATATCCACAGCAGTCTCCTTCATAACAAACAACTGGAAACGGCTCTGCCGTAGCTACACAGAATTATGGATAAGTAAGCTGATGTGTATCATTTTATGGAGTAGTAGTAAAGAAATAGCAAAGAAAAGAACAGATATTTGCTTCACATACAAAATAAATGAATTCTGTATGTGAAAGGATCCCTAGTGACTCAAGTAGTTAAGCACTTGACTGCTATACGAAAGGTTGGCACATAGCCACCAAGCCTACACAGTAGCTTCCTGGGCAAAGGACTTGGTGATCTGATTTTGCGAAAGCTATAGGCAAGAAAATACTACTGGACAGTTCTACCCCATCTGTTGGGGTTGCAATGTGTTGACATTGACTTGGCATCTAACAACACAATGAGTGTAAGAGGGAGTCGTTCAGTGGTAGACTTCTGGACGTTCACTCAGGAGAGCCAAGTTCAATGGCCAGACAATGCACCCCAGGCACTTCCATCTCTCATCAGATTCTTCCATGTTGATCTGATGCTAAGCAGGTGTCAGTGGAGCTTCCAGACTAAAAAAGACTCGAAAGAAAGGCCTGGAGACCAACCTTTAAAATAGTCAGGCAATGAAAAACCCTTTGGGTCACAGAAACCTGATCCTGATGGGCACGGAGTCACCGTAAGCAGGTAGGTATCAACTTGATGGTAGCAGGTGGTACAGTGATGAAGTCACTACAGAAGAAAAAGAGGTGGCGATCTACTTCTGTAAAGGTTCAAAACTAAAAATTCTAACTCATTCCCGGTGAATCAGAATGGACTCATAGTTGATGCTCCATTGAGTTTCTGAGGCTTGTAAATCGCATGGGAAGAGATTGCCCAATTTTCTCCTGAGGATTTGCTGGGAGATTTGAATCACCAGAGGTGCCTGGACCAGCACACCTCCCTGCACACTAACCCACCAGAAATTCCTGGAACCATCTCCGTCTTGGAATCCTGAGGGGCAGGTCTCCCCTTCCTGTAGGGCTGCTACAAGTCAGGGCTTTTTGTTTTGGGGTTTGGAACAATAATTATGTGTGAAAGAGTCCACACTCAGAATTCCATTTCTATCAATATCAAGAACATACTGACCTCATGCACTTTGTCAGAGGTTAGATCATGCTCACGTTTGAGGGTACACATGAAAGGGGTGTGTGTCTGGAGTGTGCAATTTATAAAAATCCACTGAGTGGTGCCCTTTTCTGTACGTGTGTCAGGTAACAATCTAACACCATTGAACCGATTCTGACTCATAGCAACCCAGTGGGACAGAATAGAACACTTTCCTGAGGTGGACAGCTTTATGGAAGCTGACCGCCGTGTCTTCTGCCATGGAATGGCTGGTGGGTCCAAATGACAGACATCTTAGTGAGCCACTGTATCCTCAGGATTCCTTGTTTTTTGTTATAAAACTTTAAAAAGGGGGGGGGCATTTATTTATTTTTTAAAATATGGTTTGGTTGAGTAACCCTTAGGATAAATATCCTATGGTTATAGGTTTGGAGGTTATTAACACGGCATTGAAAAACAATGAAATATTGAAACACTACATAACATGGGGGAGCCTTGAGGACATTATGCTAAGTGAAATATCTCAGTCACAAAAGGATAAATACTGCATTATCACTGTTGTTCTGAAATAGGGCAGACCTGTTGGAGAGGGAATGAGGAAAGGGTGGATAGATAATGAACTGCATTGGAACAGATGAGGGGAAAAATCATTTGAAAGAAATATATGATTATACATTATATGTATGAGAACAGTCTTGAACAATGGGGTCATTGCTGGGGGGAAGAGGAGGGAAAAAGAAGGGGAGAAATGTGCAATAATGAATAAATTTAAAAATAAATAATCATTTAAAAAATTAAAATTTGAAGATTATTAGTTTAAATGAGACAACTGCTGCCCTAGCTCCACATTGGCCTTCTTCACAACTGCCCAGCTGGCCCTCAGCAGGAAGGGGAATGCTGCCTGTACCTGGCCCACCTCATCCCTTTTATTCCTTGTAGATTCCATGTTGGAGACAGAACCACAAACAAATACAAAGATCCACAGTGATTGTGTAGTGTATCACAGACACCAAGGGAGGGACACCTAGAGGGATG